ATTTTATATGATATCATTCTGAGATTGAATCTTTGTACATAATTCGTATATCATGACGGTGAATGTGAATGTATATAGTATCAAACTGACATTATAACTTTGTGTATAAGTCTCAACTTTATAATGGTGAATGTCCATTGATATATATGTTATATCGTTTCATACTAAGATCAGATTTGTGTGCATAAGTCTGCATATTATAATGTCGAATGTCCATCGATATATATTTTATATCGTTTCATACTGAGATCGGATTTGTGTGCATAAGTCAGCATATTATAATGGTGAATGTCCACCGATATATATTTTATATCGTTTCATACTGAAATCGGATTTTTGTGTTCATTAGTCTGCACATCATAATGTTTGATATCCAATGTTTTTCATATGATATCGTACTTAGCTTGAATTTTGTGTGCATAAGTCTGCACATTATAATGGCGAAAGTCTATTCCATATATATTTCTTGTAATATCATACTAACATTAGATTTCGTGTGGGTCTGAATATTCAATGCTGAATGTCAAATGCATTTATTTATTATATGATATCATACTGAGATCGGATTTTGGGGTTCATAAGTCTGCATATCATGTTTTATGCCAATGTATAAATATATTTAATATGATAATACACTGAGTTTGGATTTATGTGCACAATTCGTACATCATGATTGTGAATAGCAAATATAATATTATACTGAGATTAGATTCGGGTGTATAAGTCTGCACAATTATGATTGTGGATATAAAATGTATATATAATAATTTGTGTGTAGAAGTCTCCACATGTTGAAAGTTTAGTGTATTTACATATATGATGTCGAGGTTGAGATTACTGTACATAAGTCTGCAAATTATAATAGTGAAAGTCCAATGCATATTTCATGTAATATCATACTGAGATTGGATTTTGTGTGTGTGCATGAGTCTGCATATCATGTTTCCGATGTCCAATGCATATATATATATAAATATATTATATATATATATGATATATGAGACTGGATTTGAGAGCATAAATCGTACATCATGATGCTAGATGTCCAATGTGTATATTTCGTATAAATATCATACTGACATTAGATTTTTGTGTATACGTCTATACATTATAATGGTGAATGTCCATCGCATATGTATTTCATATTATATCATACTGAGATTGTATTGTTGTGCATAATTCTGCACATTTGCTCGTATTGTTTCCAATATATCTTATATATCCAACTTTTACGCATTTCAGTCCGGAACACTGCACAATTCCATCATTTAGTTCTCCTGTACTTTTAATTTGACTGATTCTTAATATCGAATTTTACAGATTACAAACAGCTGCACAATACTAAGATTTAGAAATTCCATTGTGAATTGGATGTGACAGTGATTATGGGGCTGCACATGTTCAAGCGAAGTAAATACCTTTGTTCTATATACCCATCTTCTGAAAGCGCACATCCTTTTAGGGTACACACCATATCTTCATGAATTTCTGTAGTAAAGTTTAAATCTCTCCGGATTTGCATTCTTGTGCAAGAGTCTGCACACTTTTGCATGATTTACATGATTTGCTGTTGTTAATGTACCATTCGACATCATGTAGGTTTTTTTTTATAGGATGTGTGTCCATTATTCTGTACAATCATATTTTTGAATGTCAGAAAACTATCGTGCGTATTATCGGGGCACACATTTTCAGAATAACGCATGACTGAATACATATAAGATTATATATTTGCCATGAGAGTCATTCAGATATTTTTGGTTTTGTTTCATGTGACGTAAAGTGTAAAAAGAGTTGTTGCAAACTACATAGGGTTGAGTATTTTGATGAATTATTGGCCTATAGGCTATAGTAACTATTGTTACATATATCTAATTTAAAATTGCCATTTTGTGCCTTTAATCCGAATTTTAATAATGCTATTTGTTCCGATCAATTTATATATTCAATAAATTGATTCTAATGAATTAAACAAATTGCAATTATATGGTTCCTGTGTCACATTTCTGTCATTGCTAAGGCTAGAACTACTCAAAACTCAGTACATTCACCGCTTAACATAATTTACAAGACTTTACATTGTGTTTATGTTAATGTGAAATAGTATCATAGAGAAAAAATGTCCACTTAAAAGCATACTCTTTCAAATGGCCTCATTTCCGAATTATGACAAGAAAAGATAAATTAAATCAAAGGGTTGGAACAAAATTGTATGCCAGATGTTTGTTCATTTTGCAGTCCCGTATAAACATTTATGTGAACAGAGTATGTGAGTGTGCCAATTTCCTATCATTTTGATTATGTCAAAACCTCAAAGTATACACCAATATTTATGTGCTACATGATCAACCTTTCAAGTCACTTCCACACAGTTTCTTTCCCATTGCACTTGCATGACTAGAAATGCATAATACATATATTAGCAGTTGGGCTTGACGAACGATAATGTGGCAACCCCCTTATGTCCCTATTTTGTACTTCCTGTTGTAGTTACGGACTTGCTAAATTTAATTACTCATTATTCCTAAGTATCATTTGAGGTGTCCACACTTGTACAACCATTGCTTTTGAGTGGACTCCTCTAATTCTAATATGTACATGTATTCCTACATTTGTTGTACATGTTTATAATCTATTTGTAATGTTTTGTTGGAAACATAAATCAATTGACAATTGAAATTGAAAGTGAACATGTACATTTAATACCATTCACATTACTTGGATGGCCATGCATTATCTTTTAGCATTTTAACAAAGATATGTACCAGGACAGCTACAAAAGCTGTTTGAGCATTAACTACCCACATGATTCAATTCTATCCTGCAATTTACAGTGCACACTCTCTACTCCTTGGGGAAGCATTGCGGTTGTTTCATTTTTTTTCAAACACTCATTAATAAATTATCCTTTTATATTCAGTGTACGCTTGATTTGGTTCTGCAAAAAAGTGTCTTAGGCCGCAAAGGGGGCATGCCTGGAATAATTCAAATTTACATTTAGGTATAGTCCATTTTTTTTAATTTAATAAAAAATATATTTAAAAAACAATTCTTTATTCTTGATCCTATTACTTCTTTCAGATATTGAAACTGTGCACCCCACAATGGAATTTACGTTGAGGTTCACAGCTCCAGTTAGTATGTACACTCAAAACCTAATGTGGGGGGGGGGGGGGGCTTTGGATAATGTTACACCCTAATTATGGAACACTTTACCATTACAAGTTAGACAATCATCATCAATATAGTCCATGTTTATTCATTCTCACCTCTTTATTGAATAACCCCCAACACAAAAGGGTAGAAAAAACCTGTCGCATGTACATACCCTGTTTGGACCACTATACATACAACCCAGATTCGGAAAGTTACAAAAACAGAGATACATAAGTATTGTGCGTGCATGCTAAATTCATTTTAAAAAAAAGGAAGTAACGGTAAGCATAGTACTGACTTTATAGTTTAACATGTATAGATGTAATTAACTTAGTTAACAGTGCATCGTTTAAAGTACATTTTAAATAAAACAGATTTACAAACTTATGTGATCTATTGACTGATGAACAAATAAAATAATGAAATGTAAACAAATTTCTTTGTCGACATCAAAATCATACTTTCAGTAAGATCTGATCCTTTTTTTCTTAAATTTACAGTACAAAAGTAAAACGATTCAAAGATTTAAATGCCGAAGGGAAAACAAAATCTGTTTCATTATATAAGGAATATAAAACTTGAATCTTGAATCTTGATTATTAATATAGGCAATGACATTGTCCTGCATGTGTTTTTATCATGAAAATTATTTATTTCTAATAGTAACCCATTGGTCTACTTCTAAAAGTTGTTTCTTTCTTTTCTTCAAACTAATTGATTTATTTCATTACTATAAGCTTCAAGGTTTCTTTTACATTTATTTTACACACATGTACAGGTAAGGCATAATTACAACAATAAATTTACTATTATAATTGTGTTTTTTTACAAAAATAACTCCATTTCAACAATTGTATGCATTGTGTATATATTTCATTAAAGCCATAATGTAATAGAAACTTTACGCAAAATCCCCTCTAGCGGTAAGGGCATAATTACAACATTGGGTTTACTATCATAAGTATGTTTCAAAATAACGGTATACACCATTTTACATGCAATACACAATCAATCCATTCATAATTACCAATAGACAATTTTTTTAATTTTTTACAATGTAAACCCTTCAAAATTACTCAATTTCATTTAAGATAACATGTGACAATTTTTTTTCAAACCTAATGACACTGTAAAAGGTAATATAACGTATCGCAACTGAACTGAAAACATACATGTACACTTAGAACTTTAATATTGCCTTGTTTAGATATGAGGTGGAAATACCATTGCGTGTTTTTTTTTTACGGCGTAAAGTGTTATACGCTTCATATATCTGTTTCTTATGACACCGAGCTCAGTGCATATACGTGAGGGAAATTTGTGGCACACAGTTGCCTTTCATGTACATGTAAAAAAACGTGGTAGCCTTTTCGCATCGGTTTCCCGCATATCTTTTATTCATTTACCGTACACGTTATAAAAATAAACACCCCTTTTTACCTCGTCATATCTGAACAAGCCTTTAAATGGCACATATAACATTCAAAACCATTCAACAGTATGCATTGTTTTTTTAATAGATAATATGTACAGAAAGAACTTGGTATTTCAACAGTTATGAACATCACATTATACAGGAATATTTTCATATGCATATATAAAATATATATTTAGCAAGTACAAAATATAGAAAAAATCCATCTTAAGCTCTTCAGGGGGTGTTTCACAAAGCCTTTTTTCAATGACAAATGACAAAAATCAGTGACAAATCTGATGATAACCAATCAGGAGCAAGGATTATATATAACAAAAACTGACATTTGTCTCTGATGACAAGTTTTGTGAAACGCCCCCTAGGAATAAATGGTCTGCCTAGAGCCAGAAGGGCGTTAACGAATATACGGACTTTGTTTGTTTTACCTGAATGCTAAGAAAGCATGTGAATGATTGTAAGTATGCAAACAAGGGGACCGACGGCTTTAAGTCCTCTCTGAGGGACATGGTAATAAGGATGCACCAGTACCAAAGGGCACTGGCGCATCGACCTGCTTTCGAACCCTTGACGTCCCGGTTTTGAGACCACTGATCTACCACTGAGCCATCGCACCTCCTTAACGTTAATGCCCTACTGGCTCTCTGCACACAAAAATGATTTGTATTCTTTACATACTAAAGACCAAAACCCCATGCTACTACATTGTCTGGAGTAAATATATTTATTTATACACACACTGTTTGTGTGACAAAAGTCGATTGTGGCACTCCAATATCTGTACTGTTATATAACAGAAACTGTTAAAGGGCGATTCTGTATGCAATGTATCACTTAGGAAATATGTCTTTTTTTCAATTTCGTCAAAAAAGTGAAAATATCTTGAGACGATCGATCGCTAGTGTTATCATAAATAACTATCAGCTAGCGGTTATAACAGGAAATTTTCGAGATGAATTAAAGTGATGTCATATGTCGTATTAAAGGGAAACATTGCATAGAATCACGCATAATAGTTAAAGGGGAATTCCACCCTGATATAAAATTGGTTTTAATAGAAGTAGAAAAATATGAGAAACAATTCACTGAAAGTTTGAGAAAAATCGGACAACAAATAAGAAAGTTATGAATCTGTTGAAATCATGAAAAACATGGAATCTGTGAGACTAAATGACAATTCAGTCAGAATGTTGTGATGTCATCCCTTCAAAATTCACCACTGATCTGAATGACAGAATGACATAAACTCTCCATTTCTATGAATGTTAATAAAGTAGTAGACCCATCTTATATGGATTTGTACGAAAGAACATGCTATCTGTGATATTTGATCAAGATAGGCAGGACAAAATATATCTTTTGATCAAAATAAAATTTAATGAAATTTCTTGCATTCAACATATAATAAAATATGAGGGGGTGACATCATATTTAGAGACCGGGTGGCCAATTTGACTCACAGATTTGAAGTATTTCATGAAAAGCTATGGATTTAAAATATCCAATACTGTCTCATTTATTGTCCGATTTTTCTCAAAGTTTCACTGATCTGTTCTCATTTTCTCCTAATATTAAAACAAACTTATTCTAAGGGTGGAATTCCCCTTTAACTCAGACACACAAGAATCTCAGAAACTATAAAATACATGAAGATAACAGACACAGATACAGTTTGTTCATCCTTTCTTGAATAAATATAGAAATAGGAATGAAGGTGGTAAAAGGAAGCTTTACAGATAAATGGACATTGTCCAAAAGATTTAATTTAGCTGTACACGTATAGCAAGGTGCTGGTGCTAATTTCAGCCATGCCCCATGTTTTATATTACTTCACCATTGATAATAATGATACTAATAATAATGCTGTAATAGTAATAATAATAATAGTGGATTCTTGTAAAGCCTTCACGTCTGTCAGATTGTCTGGCACTAAATGATTATCAGCATGGCTGTCATTAATAGCATCTCAAGTAGTCCTTGAGTGGTTAAGTCGCTGGACTGTCGGATCTTAAGGTCCGCGGTTCGAGACACGTCACAGCACTAATGTCCTTTGGCAAGACATTCATCGACATTTGCCACACTCAACCCAGGTGATGTAAATGGGTACCTGGCAGGAATTAATTCTTTGAAATGCTAGAGCGCCATAATGGCAGCACGGCTAAAGCAGGGGTAATAACCTACAAGTTTGGAAGCGCTTCGTGATTGTAATAAGCTCTATACAAAAACTGAGTATTATTATTATTATTTTTAATACAGACAGTGATCGAGGCAAAGGTAGATTAATCTCTTTGAAAAGGACCTCGGTGTACTACTAGATCTACTAGCAATCCGAATTTATGTACAAATCAAATATTCACGTGACCTGCACAGGGAGTGCCAGAGGTCACGTTAAAAACTTTGAAATCACATTGGAAACTCTCAGGCAAATCACCTGCAAATATCTAGATTATTTAGATATTATGTGTCTCCTACTGTATTGCTGAAGTCACAAATCATCCTGTATACATAAAGGCTTTATCGTACAGGAGTTTTAGTGGAAATAACTTGGTCTAAGTGTCTCCTTACTATAGAAGTGACTGTTATAAAGACTACATATACATTACCGGAGTAACACATCTTTCTGCGCATGTAGGCTTTATCATACAGGAGCTTTATAGTGGAATTAACTTTGTCAGATTGTCTCTTTACTTTAGAAGTGACTGTTATAAAGACCCCATTTTCATCCCTGGAGTCACACATCTTCCTGCCAATGTAGGCTTCATCATACAGGATCTTTGATGGGAATAACCTGGTCTGCATATTTCCTTAGTGTTGAAGTGACTGGTTCAAAGACTGCTTTGGCACAATAGTTCTTCTCTATGTTATGTGCGGTTAGGTGATGCTTAAGTGGCTCGATCAAACCCTTCTCGAGGTCCGCTCCAAAAGTATACTGAAGACCGAGGAAAGAAATGCAGAAATAAAAAGAAAAATTTAGCAGACACAAGGCATAGAAATAAAAGAATTGTAATTAACTAAACAATTGATATTTTAATGTGCTCATATCCGCCATGCAAAGAGCTCAAGATGCTTTAAGATTAATCACCCCAGCTTTATACTTTATATTTTATAATATGCAAATTGAAATTTTGGGCTCGGAGGCCATTATGATGACGTCATGAGTTAATTGAGGGTCAAATGAGACATGAAGTCATATCTCCGATTCATATTCTATCAAAATATGAAAAAAGAAATGGGGTCACCTTGCATCCTAAAGAGCTACAATGGATTTTGTATAGGCATGTTTTTTTACAAGAGCTCGCACGCACGGACATGTTTTTTAAACCGACGCTCATTCCGTTATTAATGGTCAGAAAAAGATGAACAAGGTATCAAAATGCTTTAAAAAATGTGCCAAATATGATGACAGAGAAAATTTGGCGATTCTACGTCGCAAAATGCCAGTACGCGTGAAAACGGGCGTGCAAAGTTTGAAAATGCTTAATATGGCCTGAAACGTGTGCACAAAATTTTTGAAACGATGTAGAGCATTTCAAAATTTTGTACGTGCGCTAACGCGCGGACTACGCATACGCGCGCGTTTATTGACCTGAGATTGACCGGACAAATATTTACCTTAATCATGATAACTATGAATGAGAATTGACTTTCCGTTATGGAGATATGATCATGAGTTGAAAGTACAAAAAAACAACCAAAAAAAAGGGCGCCTGGATGACGTCATGAAGACATGATGACCTTGAAAATGTTACTGTCACGTCTCATGACAAGGACCTATGACTGTGCCAAAATTGAAAGAAATTGACTAAACTGATCTTGAGTTATCAACGACAGACCACCTAATAACAGCAATTACAATAACACTTATAGAGTAATGAAGCTGTGACATCATAAAAATTTATTTTTAGAATTTCTCAATTTTACGAACCAGAGCAAAACAACACTGAGTTCCTGTGGGAAATTGATTTATTCAGATGGTCATATATCAGCCAATACTTAAAATATTCAATTGGTTTTCGACATTTGGACATTAATCTTTGATGCTCTTCTGGAAAACAAAACAAAATTTGGCAAATTCCCAAAATCGACTTTGATGAAGTCAAACTTCACCCCTCTATAATAATAATGATAATAATAAAAACAATAATAATGAAGTAATAATAATGATATTCTTTATCATCATTGAAGTACCGGTAATCATAAAAATACTAATTTTTATTATCATCAATCTCGTGATTTTATTTCAATTTGTGCCTGTATACTCAGTTGACTTACGTCTCTAAAAGACTCATAGATAGCTCTGAAAGCCGGCTGCTTCATGTTGTGATAAACCCCTCTGTTCCCGTGTATGACCGCTATCCCATGCTCATTCGTCCTATGGCAGTTATTGGAGTACATGCAATGGTCGGGCCGATAGTTCCACTCGCACGCATAGGGGAAAAGTCCCTCTGTATTGAGGTCAAAGGTCAAAGGTGATGAATCCTGAAGTTTCAGCATACATGTTAATCAAAAACATTTTTTTATGTTTAAAAACTGCATATTCTTGAACTATTGCTCTTGCCATCCATAAACTTGTCTGACATATCACACCAAGCAACTGATCAAACAGATTTATTGGTAATTGTCAAAAACAGCTTGACATTTGTAACATGGTCACTTTTACTAATTAGAAATACATTTTCACCCACAAATCTGCAGAAATTGACTTACATTAACATTTCTATCTATGTCTTTGAACATGGATTATAATACAGCAATTAGTGGCTTTGTGGCTATCTTTTTAAAGACAGAATGATAAAAAAGTATAATTTCCCCATATTATCTTGAGCTTGAAATAGTAACACCAAATACTATTTCATGAGTAACTGATTCTCAGACATTAGATAGTTATATAATGTTGCATTCAAACTCACGTGGATAGTCATGGAATAGTATATTGATCAGATCTTGAGCTTGTATTCATATTGACTCTCAGACATTAAATAGTTATATAATAGTGCATTTAAACTCACGTGGATAGTCATGGAATAGTATATTGATCAGATCCTGGTCTCCCCATGTAATCTTGAGCTTGTATTCATATTGACTCTCAGACATTAGATAGTTATATAATAGTGCATTTAAACTCACGTGGATAGTCATGGAATAGTATATTGATTAGATCCTGGTCTCCCCATGTAATCTTGAGCTTGTATTCATGATACAGAGGAACAATCGTCTGCGTCCATCCAAAGCGCCTCATCCGAGTCAAGTTCATCAGCATCACGCCAGAGTTCATTCCTGTCTCACCGTAGTAAGGGTGCCGCGCAAAACGGTTGTACCTGTATATGATTAAGCAGACATACGGTAGATGATTCAAGTTGAAAAATGAAAAGGATCATCAGCATCACGCCAGAGTTCATTCCCGTCTCCCCGTAGTAAGGGTGCGGCGCAAAACGGTTGTACCTGTAGATGATTAGGCAGACATAGATGATTCAAATCAGCAACATAGTGATATGCAAGTTTCATAACAGTAATTGAAAAGGTTCATCAGCATCCGGCCAGAGTTCATCCCCGTCTCGCCGTAGTAAGGGTGGCGCGCAAAACGGTTGTACCTGTAGATGGTAGATGATTGGGCAGACATAGATGATTCAAATTAGCAACATAGTGATATGCAAATTTCATAGCAGTAATACTTACAATATATATGTTAATCAATTTTTAAACATGTCAACATTTTTGGAATAACAAATTTTGTCGGCAACATTTGTGAACACCATGTAGCTAATGTATTAGTGCATGCCAATGCCTGTCCATAGGCAAAGTGGCATGCATGTTCCAGACTAGTTCATAACTAATGGAGAGAAAACAAGACACCTTAAAGTACGTTGTGACAACTTCAAGTACGTCGTGACAACTACAAGTACGTCGTGACAACTACAAGTACGTCGTGACAACTACAAGTAAGTCGTGACAACTACAAGTATGTCGTGACAACTACAAGTATGTCGTGATGCCTTAAAGTATGTCGTGACAACTACAAGTATGTCGTGACAATGAATAACAATGCATGAACAATGATTATCTTTGTCATAAATACAGTGAAACCTGTCTCTAAAGACCACCCAAGGGAGACAAGAAAGGTGGTCTTAAGAAGCAGGTGATCCTTATGCACAGGTGCCTAAATAGTACATATTTCAATGAGAAACCATTTTCAAGGAAAACAAAACATGTGATCTAGGTAGACAGGATTGACTGTACTATACATTTTACACTGTAGATGGTTATATACAGGTTTCATTATACAGAAATATATTATATCTTGATTTTAAAAGTTGGAATGCTGGAAAATATAAATATGTGTCTTGCATATTTAATTTAACTCAATTTGTACATATAAATTTGTAAGTGTACATGGTAATATTCTGTGTACATTCGGTGCTTTTAACTTAACCAAGACTGGGCCAAGTTTCTTATCATTTTGATGATTCCAGAACCTTGTAGTCAACCTTTTTATGATTGATTCCACTAAGTTTCTTTCACAATGCAATTCTATGACCTGGGCCCTGTTGCATAAAACGTACCATTGATGGTAACTTTGCCATCAATAGCAACTACCATGGTAACAGGGCTCAACAGCCAATCAAAATCAAGGTTTCCATGATAGTTACCATTGATGGCAAAGTTACCATCAATGGTAAGTTTTGTGCAACGGGGCCCTGGGCCCTGGGCCTGTATTCAATTCAATACTTAGCATAAGTAAGAAATTTACCAAGTACATGGCTAAGTTAAGTAATTGACTTATCTCGTATTCAAATCGCATTTTAGACTTATACTTACGTAAGACAAAATCTAAGTAAAATACTTACTGATAAGCATTGTGACGTCACACAGTCAATCAAAAGTAATGCGCAATTGATGCATTGCAATAAATGTGCGCTGATATAATTGTGCGCAGGATATAATACTGCGTAAGAAAACCATATGCCTGCCAATCAAGGCCACCAAATAATTGGCTTAAGTCTGGTATGCAGTTGGCTCAGATTTAGAGTAAAATACTTAGCCAAAATTGTGAATTGAATACCATAAATGGCTAAGTATTTTATCCAAGTCAAATACTAAGTAAAAAGCTTATTTTTTGTACTTTTATTGAATTGAATACGGGCCCTGGATCTTTGCCATCAGATAATCTTTGCCTTTAATAACAGCTTACCATCCAATGTTCTTCGCCTCGTGTTCAGGGGCCAGGGCCGCCATCTGAGTGGAATTGAATTGCTTGAAGAAACTATAAATCTCCTCTACTGGGCGGATGAACAAGATATCCGTGTCCACATACAGCAGGGAATCTACATTCGGTAGGAGATCCTGCAATAAAGAAAGCAAGGTCATATAAAGGTCAATCAAGATAGTACAGGTCAATTGGTAGCTATCAGATTGTCCGAATCTCCACTATGAGGGAAATGAAAATGATAATAGTGTCCACATACAGCAGAGAATCTTCATTTGGTATGAGATCTTACAATAAAGAAAGTGAGGTCAAATAAAGGTCAATTAAGATAGTGAAGGTCAGTAACAGGTCAATTGGGAGCTATCAAATTTTTCAACGAAATTACATGTATTAATTAATCTCCACTATGAGGGCAAATGAACAAGATATCAGTGTCCACATACAGCAGTAGCACGCTTTCGCAAACACAACGGAAGGCAAAGACAATGGTAACGCAAGCGAAAAAACAATCTGCACATGTGCGACCCAGAATTTTCTCCCTCCTGTTGATTTTCACGACCGTACGCAGCCATTATAGCGTCCGTTCCCTAAACACGACGGAAGAGCTGTATTCCCGTAATTCTCACGTCGTCTTTACTTCCGACGTGTTTGCGAAAGCGCTCTAGTGAATCTACATTCGGTAGGAGATCATACGATAAAGAAAGCAAGGTCAAATAAAGGTCCATGAAAAATCAACTAAATGTGTACGAAGGCCGAAGAAAAGCGAACTGTTCGAGTTTAGACTTAAAGATCAAAGGGCATGGGTTAAACAAAAACGATAGATGTTGTCTATGGGACAGATGATCAAAATATTACAGAGTAGAATATCTGAAAATACAGACAAGAGTCTACAGATCTCCTCTATGTTGGTACAAAGCAGAGATTCTACAATGGGAAAGAAATCCCAAGATATAGAAAACAAGGTCAAATCAAGTTTTAACAAAAAGTCAAATCGGGTTAACAAAAAAGAAAGGTCAACAAAGTTCATCCATTGTCTTTGTTCAAATTCAATTTTGTCATATTCTCATTAGGCCTCATGACCAGTTGGGCTACACTGGATTTTGACGGTTCGAGTCCTGCCGCGGGACCAATGTCCTTTTAATAGGCAAGACCTTAATCTACATTAGCCATTCTCCGTCCGGGTGTGAAATGGGTACCGGTACTGTTAGGAAGAAATTCCTTGAATGCTGTTTGCATTGAAATTGTAAGCCTGGCAGAGCTGGGGTGATATTCTGAGCACCTAAGGTATCTTGCAGGTTTGGTATGTGCATTACAAGTAATATCCAATATCATGTTTATTATTATTATACTGCGATATTCAAATAAACTCATTTAACCAATATAATCATCGACAAATGACCGTGAGAGAAATATGCTAATTATGATCCTCGCAATCTATATCATGTGACAAGCTATGGACTAATCACAACTTTGTATATATCTTTAAAGATAAAGTTGAGTTCTGGTCATGGCGTGATGCGATCGTATTGTGAAAGAAACGTTGTGGAATCGATCATAAAAGGTCATCATCTAGCATATAAGTATTGGTGTGTACTGCAAGGTTCTGGAATCATGTAAATGATAAGAAATTTGGCCCAGTCTTGGTAAGTTACAAGCACTGTACACAGAAAGATGTGTATGGGACTACATGAAAATGTGGCATAAAAATCTGTCCCAAATTGTATGATGGTACATTCCATATTTAGAATATTAAGGCATTTGAAGAGCCATGCTTTTCAAGGAACATTTTTTTATCTGATGTTGTTCCACACTTGAATAATACAATGATAACACTCACAAATTATTGTTCACCTCTTCCATGAACTCAACCTTCTCTTTAATAGCTATCTAATAGGGTCAAACCTGTCTACAGCAACCGCCCAAGGGAAACACAAAAAGTGGTCGTTTTAGACAGGTTCCTTTGGTACATGTTTCAATGTGAAACCACTTTCAAGGGAAACATAAAAATGTGCTTGTTGTAGACAGGTAGTCTTTGTAGACAGGTGGTCACTAAAGCAGGTTTGACTTTATATCCATATACTCACAGGGAGGAAGAGCCGTTGGGTAGCGCACGTCTTAAAGACTTTCTTCCATTTCGCTGGATCTTCTCCGGGCGGGAACGATATCGGGTGAAGACTGAAAGCAAATTTACGCCGGTAAACGGAGGGCCACGCATTCAGCTACAGGGCAACATTGACACAAAAAAAGATGTTACAGACACAAACACTGAACTTTGAAGAATTACATTTTGTAAGCAAGAAAAATGCATCCTTTTTCGTTCACCTTCACTCTATGAAAACAAAGCCACCTGTTTAATGATCAACTTAAAAAGTGAATGATTGTGTAACTGTTATCTTATTATTATCTTATTAAGCAATAAAAAAATATATAAGAAATCAGAAAACGGACAATTGAGCAAGTATAGTAGATACAACCACTGGAACGAGAAGGACAGAATAACTGTATCAAAAAGCTTTCTGTCCCAGTTCCAGTGGTTGGAAAAATAATCTACTTTTTGCCCCAAAAATGTATTCAATACGAAAATTGCAACCTTATATTATCTTAAAATTAATATTTAATATTGAGTCAATAATCTTATTTCATAATTAAAGCAATATCTTGTGAAGAGGTACATGCAAAACAAATTGCTTCCAATATAACTTGGTTCAAATTATGAGAAAATAATATTTTTGGACTTAAAAAACAAGGAGAATTTGCATTGTTCAGTGCTATTCATAGTTTGTCATAGTTTGTAATTACAGAGTATATCTTTCTTATTCCTTGTCTGGTTTTCCTGAAATTTGTGTTGTTCTATTGCCTGATTTTTCTGCTTTTATTGAATAGAAGTCAGTCTTGGACCAGACTTTCCCTATAATCAACAGCCAGAGACTATCAGAGCTAGGCTCTGCTCAAGGCTTCATGAATTGTAGTAGAGCAACCAATTAGGGTCTGTGCTTGTAATAATAATAAGAGTGGGCTCTTGTATAGCGCTCATGTCTGGGAGGCATTTCACAAAGATCCTTAGTCCAACTTAGAGTTAAGTTCGACTTGAACATTATGGAGAGCCATTTGTAGCCTTAAGATAAAATATATTCATAAGCAAAAAGTAAAGTGTTTTAACTTTTCATAAATTCCTCATCAAGAACATATCATCTCCTGGATAATAGAAAACATGAATGATTTGAATCAACATTTTATGCCCTTTAAAATACATTTACAAAATATTTTCAAGGGTGCTATTTCGGCTTTCCATAATTATAAAGTGCAACTTAGAGATAAGTTCGACCTAGAATCTTTGTGAAATAACCCCCTGGTGGTCCACTTTTGTAGACTAGATTGAAAGCTTCTTACCCTTTGCGCTCATGTCTGTCAGACTGGATACTCCTAGGGGAGGGGGGGGGACACAAAGATCCTTAGTTCAACTTGAACATTATGGAGAGCTATTAGCATCTTTGAAAATATGTTGTTAAAGGCTTTTTAAAAGGCATAAAATCTTTATTCAAATCATTCGTATTTTCTATTATCATGGGAGATTTCATGTTCCTAATGTGGAATTATGAAAAGTCTAAAATACTTGAATTTTTGTTTTTTTAATTTAAGGCTACAAATGGCTCTCCATATTTTTAAAGTCCTAATTAGAGATAAGTTCAACTTAGGATCTTTGTGAAACACCCCCTCTGGCACTCCACTTTTGTAGACTAGAATGAGAGCTTCTTACCCTCTGAGCGATTCCAGCCTGTAATTCGTCTTCAGCAAAGATGTGAAAATGCATCAATTGTTGAGTGAGGACCGTCGCACTTTTCAACATGACGAGCGTCTCGTTGGTTCTATCTCCGCAGCATACCACTGATAGATTAATCCTGAAAAAATATGTGAAATAAAATTGGCAACTTTGTTTGATTATCTTAAAATATATATTTTTCTTCTTGGTTGTGGAAAAAGTAAAGCATCTACTTCAAAAAGAAGAAGGTGGCAGTCTTCAACATGACAAGCATCTCGTCGGTTCTATTTCTGCAGCATACCACCGATAGATTAATCCTGAAAAAACATGTAAAAAAATTGGCAACTGTGTTTGATTGAAAAAAATCTAAATGAAATATTCAGGAAGGTATTTTCTCTTAAGTCTCAATCCACTGACCAAATTACCAACATTAAACTTGCATAGATTTAATGATCTCAAATTTCAACATTCATACACTGTAATTCTCACAATTATTATTAGTCCGATTTACTATAAGTTTTTGCCGTTCTGTTTTTCTTATTTGTTCTGCTTATTTTTTGTGATTGCCCCTAAAGGCGTTGTTTAACATTGTTAAATCTGAGATGCACGGCCCTACGTGTTATCAGTGTCTGTGATATGATGTAATATTGAAGCCCTAAAAAAAATCGCGCTTCAAAATGATTAAGAAGTGCCTCAAAAAAGTAAAAATCTTTGAGTGACCAGTTTTACCATACTCGTTTTCCCCAATAAATTTGTAATTACAATCATAAATATCTTAATAATCAGACAGGCGATCGGCTTGTACAAGTCATGGGATTCCTGTCTGACCTAAAGGTTTATAATTATGATTGCAGCATGAGCTAAATCCAGGATTTTGTTTCAGAATATGAGACAGTTACCGGATGGATCCTTTAAGGTCTAGAAAAAAGATATCTTACACAGAGTCTGATCCTGGCGGCTTCCCAGAAGCACCTGCCATGTTAACTTCCTGTTTATGTTGAGCTGCATGCTGGGATTGCTCCAGTTTAATTCTGTCTTTCAACTAAGAAAAAGAGAAAAGAAAGAAAAGAAAAGATAAAGAAAAGAAAAACATCTCATGAAAAATGTTTTAAAGGGGATGGCCACTTTAACATCATGTGGATTTTGTTAGAGGCTTACAAATTTCTTATCAAATATCTCTCAAATTGTCATAGAAACAGAAGACATTGTCCGCTTAATCCAAGCTGAATGGATTTAAAGGGAAATCTTCTCTCAACAGTTTGAAAACGATTGAAGCAATATTCAATAATAGGCCACAATAATAACACACTGTACAAAACATACAGTATAGGGGCTTGTTCAGAATTGAAGGGATAAATCGTGGCAAAAAAAACTGCCATGTCCTTTTACAGTGAATTAATGGCAACTGCGCGCACCAAAGATTTGTGGTATTCATTGTACATTATATGTAAAGGGTATAAATACACTTTAAATCATCACTTTTTTCTAATGCCAAGCTTTTCCCACGTCCTATCTGATAAACAAGCCGTATTGGTAGGGCTCAACTAATACAGTCCTTTCAAAATTTTAGTCGGGTGGATTTTCGGATCTACATGTAACATAATTCTTGTTGAAACTTCATGAATACAATTCCAACCACTCTATGTGTAAAACACACACACAACTTGAGTATTGAGCTCCACACACATTTTCTAGTCCACAATATTATGTCTGCATGTGTTTTGGCTTTCCCTCTAATTTACAGTAAATTTCAAACGACAGATGTTTCCTTGTGTCTATAAATAATGCAGTATACACTTTTGAAGCATATTGCCTTGAACATTCCCCAACTAGTCTGCAGATGGAGACTCTAATCTGACAATTAGACACATCCAATAATGTTCTGAGCTGAGCCTAACTCTGTCAGGAGCAATGAAAGTACAAAGGCTAATATAGATCATGCAGTCTGCATAGTCTTGCAGATCAGACACTTTGTTTTAAAAGCACTATGACTGATAAGAGCTACGTACATGTATGTATTAAAGCTTATCTGCCGTAGTTTACAGGAGGGATTAGACTGCCCTGCAAGGTCACTGGACAGGTGGTTATCTCATCAACTCAGCTCTCAGTTAACATAAGAAAAAGAGGATCATGGGGGACCAATGGCCATCGATTAGGCATTGTTTTCTATATAGAGGGAGCAAGTAGCTACAAGTAGTGCAGTGGGGCTTTAAGAGACGCTCACAAACCTGTTTTTGTTTTGCTGCATCAAGTCGTGCTTGATTAATGTCACGTGTGTCGAGCTGAGGGGGTTGGGGAGCTGGCTGATTGATGGCTGGAGGGCGGGGCTTATTATTACCAGGGGGCTGGGCAGGGTGCTGGGCGGGGGGCTGGGCGGGGCGCTGTGGTGCTTGTGGTCGAGGGGCATCCACTGGAGGCTTCAGGGGGGCTTCATTGGGGAGCTTTTGCCTTCCAGCTGTACAAAACAGAATTAAAGGAATAAAAATACAATCAAGGATTATTTTATCATTTGTTTATTTGGGTAAGTTTGCCTTCCAGCTGTACAACAAAGAATTAAGGGAGTAAAAATACAATAAAGAGTATTTCATTATTTGTTCATTTTTCTTCTAGTCTAACAGAACTACAACTGGGCACTTAAAGAAGTCTTCACTGGTACTGACTATTTACTTAAAATGTAAGACTCATGTCACCTTACGTGAAAAGGAGAACAAAAAGACAGGAAATTACAGAATTAACCAATGATGACTCAAGACCAAAATTGAGCCGATTGTGTGATAAATATACGTATGATTTCCAGAACCTACTATTATTATCATTTATTATCATCAAGTATTTGAAGTCACCAGTAGGGCTACCTGGGAGGGGGAAAGTGAAATGAATAATGTAAGTCTGTAACCCTCGGGTCTCTCCGCCGGTATAACTGATTTCTAAAATGTGATACCACTATAAATGGAAAGAGAAACCTCAAATTACCCAGAGACAAAATTTTCTATGGACTTGGGCATGAAAATATGAAAATATTAACCAATACTTCTTCTATTCTGCTACTTGTCAAAGCCTGTTCAGCATCTAGACAAGGGTTATCTTCTGCCGACGGTGGACGGCTTGTGTGAATTTGTGCCGAAATATATGCATGTTTATGGTGCAAGTAAAATGATAAAAATCAAGTAAAATCATAAAAATCATAAAAATCATAAAAATAATGATGATGCTGTGACTATTCGCAGCTGATGGCTTCCTTGAACTGCTTCAATGTGGGCAGCTCAATGATATTTGTAGGAAGCTCATCCCAGTCTTTCATGGTGCGAGGAAAGAAGCTGTATTTGTAAGAATCGGAGATACATGTAGAACTGTTGCATCTTTTCTGAAAGTTTTTGAACTAACCGGCAAGGGTCTCAAAGTCTTCATATCGAGAGAAGAAGTGACGAAGTGATTCCAACTGATTGGGTGATATTTTACCTTGCAATTCATGCCATTACATCATATTTGATAGATTGCTTTTTATTAAACCGCACGCGAATTAATTTAAGGTCTTGTTGTTTTTATAAATTTTTGTCAGTTGAAACTTGCAGTACATTTTTATCCGACTTCAAATTTTGTAATTGCATTATCTCAAGAATTTGTTGACCATAAATTTTCTAGTTGCACCAATTGGTAGTCTACTCTAAAATGTTGCCAGACACTATAATTATATACATCTTTGTAGAATTATGAGTAATCATGAATCGATTATCACATTCCTAATAGTTTTTTTTTAATCTCTGCACACTTTGGGCACCACATCATCAGATCATACCAACTACAAGTACAGGTACTAGTAAGTACAAGCGACTAGTAATTAGACTTATAAAATGGCTCTAGTATTTTAAGCATCGTGATTGGTCAATACGCGTCACATGACATTGAAAATTTTTTGATGCAAGCACGATTTTGCAGAAATGAGTGCAGAAAAAGCGCAGTAAAAAGTTATATTGCACGGTGCGTACGCGTGACCATGGAGATCCAGTGCGCGCGCGTACGTGTAGTACGCGCTCCCTCGAGTTGCATTGCAATTATTGTAGGCTACGCGTAGCTAATATTGTACGCTCCACCATGATCCCCAGCGCAACGTACGCGTCGCTAGCTAGCTAGAGCGGCCAGCGGGGTATTATTAAAAAGCAAATTTTTATTTTACTTTTGCCTCGGATTTAGGCCTGTTTTGACTTTTGGATTTTATAATGAAGCCAGGAATTTCAGCTGTCTGATGTAGACTCGTCTCTAGACCCACTGTATGGATTTTATTTTTAATCAAGGCAATGAATCCCATTGACTTTTTGGTAAGCCTGCAAGGTCTTACTAGTCTAATTAGAAGTAGAACCAACATAACTCTAGATCTAGATCTAGATCGAACTCTCGTAGACTCTAACTTATTAGATCTAAAGTTTCGTTTTTGCTATTTGTGTCGCTATTTTATAAAACAAATAACGCACTTGACCCTGTTGTGCAAAACGTAAATGCAGTAAACGCTCGGTTTCTTCAGATGGTTCGCACTGTCAACGAGCCGCAAGCGGCTCGTTGCACAGAGCGGCACCAATCTAAAGAAACCTCGCGCGTACTGCATTCACCGCTATTGCACTCTGGGACGTGCGTTATTTGTATACTATGTGTTGCAGTGTTGGCATTGGAGAGCTGTTATTGAAACCATGCTTTAATCATTTGTTTGTGGAATTAAAAGTAGAGTTAGCTTCTTATTCTTAGTCTTAATTTGGAGCTAGTTTAGGTCTACAGCCATGGACATTCCAGCTACCAGCACCAAAACAGTGTCTGGTCTGGTCAGGACGCCCCCCAGCCGTCGAATCCTATACACAGTCGCCTCCTATACATAGTCGCCCCCAAATTGTGTGGTCGGGTCGCCTCCTATACACAGTCGCCCCCTATGTACAAAGCAGTACGCAAGCGCAGCTGTGTGCCCAACGCGGGATCCGGTGTCCAAGGGTAAGGTGGGGCCCGGTGTCCTCCTATGGTTAGGGTTAGGGTTAGAGTTAGGGTAAGGTTAAGGTTAAGGCTAGGGTGACTTTGAACTTGTAAAATACATCAAATTAAACAACAAATTAGGGGGTGAAATGACCAAAAAAGTTGGGGCGAGCTGACCAAGAATCCCCAAATCGCCAAAAAAATCAGGGGCGACATGACCAATTGAGTGCGACTTTGTAAGGGGGCGGGCTGACATTGGGCGACCTGACATGGAACCACCAAAACTAAAGTGCTAGTTTGTGTGTGCCCAATATTTTCTCATGACTATTACACAACCTCCTCCCTCCACAAATAGCAGTAATCAAGGAAGAATCCTGGATCGGTGAACAGGCTTAGACCTACAATATCGTGTATTAAAGTAAAGTAAGTAAGTAATAGAGTCTACGTTCACTCCTTAACTTACCGTCAGCTGGCTTTGGTTGCTGCGGCTTCAAGCTGATTGGTTCGGGGAAATCCTTTCTCGCCTTTCTTGCTGGCGGGTTAACTCTGTGCACCTTTTTCTCCACAACATGTTTATATTCTTTTCCTACCTGTTTCATGAGATTACCCACAATTTCTTCTTCAAGAATATTTTGCAATCGCTCCCTCTTTGGGCCTTGTTTCCGCCGTACCTGGCCCGGTACTTTCACGTGTAGTATCGAGTCATCGAAAGCACCTTGAGCAGCTAGCCGACCATCATAATCTTCTTCCCCGCTAATTCCCCGGTAGAAATAGCCACAAAGTGCTATCAAGCCCACGCACACACATAATACAGTCAGCGTCTTTAATTTCAGCCTCATTTTCCCTGATCGAGAAGGTAAAATTTCGCCAAAAATCACGTAGAAAAATGGCGTGAAGAGTGCGAATTGATGCAAAAGCATTGGAATGTTTTTGCCAGCTACTTAAAAATCCCAAAATGACTTCAAGAATATCTGAATAACAAACACGGTCCTACGGGTCGGTGAACAGAGCTGTTTGCTGTTTAATACCAAACTGCGTTTCCATAAATCGAAATTCCCACATGCTTTGCTAATTCAGGTTACATAGTGTACGCTCAAGTAATAATGCGTAGTGTTTGCAAGGTTGTGAGAACGTGCTTTCGCCGATGAATTGACACGTGTAAACAGCCACTCCCACGTACGTTCACGTTGATAAAACTATAAAATTGTCATGATATTATATTCATAGATTATGTCGAAAATCGAAATTAGATAATCCAAGAGTTCCGCCTGTTTCCACGGTGAATTGACAGTAGCGTGGGACTTGAGCTCTTGTCACTTTCCATCTCATATTCTCATTTCTAATGCTTCTTCGTTTAAATTCGATTAAATTTATTTATTTATTTATAGGCCTATATGCATGCATGCATGTTCACAATTTCACAATTCATTGAAGTTAACATCACATGAAAAATGAATATATTATATAATAAATCATTTAAATTTTACAATCCATTTGAATTGACTTCACTAATGAAAAAGAATGTAATAATGATTTATCAAAGACATGTTCTCAACTAGAACAGTTCAGGTGTATGATGAAACATTATAAGCAAATATACCGGTAGAGCTTGAATCGTAATTACAACATCTTTCAAATATATAACATATGACAAATAAAATTCCTAAAGTTTTGTAGTGAACTACTTACACTATTTACAACTTGAGAAACAAAAAATATTTTGTTAAGCCTAGTAAAACAAACAAAAATATGTTCGATATAATTAGAACTGATCATAGATTATATAATGTAAGTAATATCTTACATCTGTGAAATGATTTCGAACATCATTAGGTAAAGAATTCCATATATCTGATTGATTTCTGGGCTAATGTAGTGTGAGGATTGACCACATGTAAATTCGATGACTGCCGGAATACGAATGAAATGAATGTTGTTATAGGTACATTGGAGATAATGACGTAGGTAATAATTTGATATTGAAACGGAACACAAATATGGCAATTTGGAGGAAGTTAATATCACTATTCAGTTTAACAAATAGTGGGGTAGCATGGTCACGATAACCAGCTCGGTGTAATTATGCGTAGCTTTCTATTGCAGCAGAAGAATATTATTAGTCACACACTTGGATGTTGCCCACAAAATATTACAATAAGAGATATGTGGTAAAATTAGTATTATATTCTGTCAGAAACAAAACATTTTATTCTAATACAGTACGCCAATATTTCTGGAGATTGGTGTAACAATGTGTTTTACAAGGTCGCTCCAGTCACGTTTTTCATTCATATAGACACCAAGGAACTTTGTGCATGTCTTTCTCTCTAAAGAAATATCATCTAGTTAATTTATCTACTTATATGATTAGATTGCAGGCACAAACCTAGTTATAGAATCATCTCCCAAGACGAAAATCCAATTGAATCCCCATTGAATGTCCCCATTGAATCCAATTTGGAGTAAATGGAAAGTGAAACAATGGGTACCCATTGAAACCAATGGGGACCAATTGCCAATTGTTTTCAATAGGTACCCATTGTTTCACTTTCCATTTACTCCAAATTGGGGACCAATTGCCAATTGGTTCCAATGGGGACCAATTGCCAATCGGTTTCAATGGGTACCCATTGTTTCACTTTCCATTTACTCCAAATTGCCAATTGGTATTGAATTGGGATTCAATGGGGAAATTCAATGGGTATCCAATTGGTAAATCGATCCAGTTAGAAGAACCAGTGATAAATTATTGATACTTCATATTCGAAATTGGCAACTGTCCACCAATTAGGTATATTCCAATCTCATTTGCATTAACTTCATCACAAAGATCATTTGAAGTGAATTCAAGAGTTTCATTTATGGTGACATTGGCTCATACAAATATATATACTAAATATGTATATTGTTTCTTGGTTAGTAATCATATAATCAATATATAAATCAATATATCTATTGCTAAAACGTGAATGTAATTGTTCCATGATCAGACAAAATAATCTATTGGTTAATAATTGCTGAAGGAAATAAAGAAATCACAAAATTGATGTGCATTGTCATAATTTGCTTAACAAATCATGATAAATTTATTTTTCTGTGGCACGTGTAAAGTGATAATGAATATTCATGAGATGCCTAGATTTGTTGGTTTCAATTGGTCAATTGGTTTCAATGGGACCAATTGAAGTCCAAATTAAGGCCAATTGGTCCAATTGAAACCAATTGGGGACCCATTAAAGTCTAATGGGGCCTAGGCCAATGGGGCCAATGGGTCCAATTTGTCCAATGGGGCCAATCCGGACCAATTGAAACCAATTGGGGACCCATTAAAGTCTAATGGGGCCTAAGCCAATGGGGCCAATGGGGCCAATTTGTCCAATGGGGCCAATCCGGACCAATTGAAACCAATTGGGGACCCATTAAAGTCTAATGGGGCCTAGGCCAATGGGGCCAATGGGGCCAATTTGTCCAATGGGGCCAATCTGGACCAATTGAAAACATCTGAGGTCCCATTGAAACCTGTTAAAATCTATTGAGACCAATTGAAACCAATTGAAACCAATTGAAATTTCAATTGGTGTTCAATTGGTTTCAATTGGATTTTCGTCTTGGGCTAGAATCATTATAGAATTAGATTGCAGGCACAAACCTTTTTTCAATCAAAGCACCCCCAAAAGTGTCTAAAATACGAGATGGTCTTTGCCAACCCGGCGGTCTAACTGCACAATAAATATAGTCTTAGCTGACACGGCTAGACCAGGGCATGTAAAGTCTCACCTCCCTGGCTAGACCTAAGATATAAGTTTTGTGCAGAGCCTATAGGCCTATAGGCTCTGCACAAAACTTATGGAATTGTTTGTTATTATTATGTCAACTACGTAAGTCTGTGTTTGCAAACTACACGACTTGGTAGAGATGCACGCTCAAAAATAAGACGGCTTTGATCATAAAAGAAACAGTGTAAACGCTAAATAAAGTCTCAAACAACCTACACCATTATATACACTTCACTTGAAGCTCACTCACACATGATATATTGCGAAACTTCCAAGGCTATATATAGTATTTCAAGTTCATGTATATATATATTATATACAAAGTAACGGCTACTTAAATCATTGGTCTGGAATCAATTATTTGCCCATTTTCACAAACGATGAATATACATTGTAATGCAATTGTCAAGTTTAATTATTAGGTTTATTTAGGAGAATAGAAATTTGATGTTGTCAAGTTGTTCGATAACATCAATCAGTTTGATTTGATTGATATAGCTCATCATAAATAAAAGAGTGTCTCAAACAAACCTACACCATTACCAGGGGCGGATCCAGGAATTTCTTGCCGGAAGGGGGGGGGTGCACACGGGGGGGGGGAGGAGGCACACGGTGGGAAAGAGAACATAATAAAAAAAAAAATCTAGTCCCAAACAAAATTCGCAACAACTTAAGAGGACACTTTTTTTTCTCTTTTTTTTTTGGTCACGAAATTTTTAAATTTGACATTTTGCTCCGTTGGGGGGGGGGGGGGGGGGTAAGGTCACCCTTTTCAAATTTCAAACATTTAAGTGATAAGATCAATTAAATAAAATCACCAAATATTAGGAGTGTCACAGAAATAATAAATATAATCCATTCATTTTTATATTTGTGAGCGAATTAATCGTCCATTTTGAATGTACACTGGACCAATAAATGATAAGCTGGGTGATGATTTTTGTATTTTGGCCTAGTTTAGGTCTACTCGTTGCAAAAAATAGATATTTAAAATGAAACTAATAATAATCAATTATTATAAATAAATCTAATAATGATCATACATAAATGGTATTCATCTATAAGCAAATATGGGTCGTAATATCATTTGTTTTTGGAAAATTAAACTATTAAAGTGAAACAGATAACTAGAAACATACTTCTACCTCAAAAATATTATTTTCCATGAGTGACGGTAGAAAATAACAATAATTGTATACGAACATAATTTTCACAAACAGACCGCTAGGGTACAGACCGGGGGGGGGGGGGTGTACTCACGTATATCGGGTATAGGGGATGTGCTGCTCGTAAGGGTGACTTTTATAGGAAAGATCCTTAGACATGGGTCGACGATATCCCCTTTTCATTAAGAAAAATCCTTAGACATGGGTCCCATTAAAAAAAAAAACTGGGTCCCCTTTTCCATTTATTCCTTTTCCCTCTTTTCTCCCTTATTTTCACCAGGATTTTGGGATTTGCTCCTGAAATACTCATGAACTTCGAACCTTGAACTTCGTGTTAAATCATAGAAGTTCAATGCAGGGGCGGCCGAGCCACTTCCAAAGTGGGGGGGGGGGGCACCAAGAAAAAGGGGCACTTTTTGGAAAAAAGGGCACCTACAAAGGGAAATCTAAAAGCGAAAATATACAATCTTTTAGACATAGGTATATATCCCTATATTGTGATTACATTATCAGGGATGATTTCAATATTTGTTTTACTTTATACACCATACAAGATTGCTCAAGCATCATGCTTTGCAGTCGGGTGTGATGGTCTGAAAAATGATTTGCGAACGAGCGAAGCGAGCAAGGAATTCTTTTTAATATTTTTGAGATCGCAGTTCGAAAAGTTACATCTTATAAAGAGGAAAACCCCAATCCTGATGGGGTTATAAGCACATTCTTATAACGGAAGACTGAATAGACCTTTTTTTTTTTGGGGGGGGGGGGTCCCAAAAAAAAAATCGAGGACACTTTTTTTTTTTTGGGGGGGGGGGGGGTATCGGAATTTGAAAATTTGACATTTTGCTCCGCTGGGGGGGGGGGGGTAAGGTCATCTTTTTGAGGTCAGCCATGGGATTATTATTATTATTATTTTTTTTTTTTAATAGAAAAAAAAAAAAATCCAAAAGGGGGGGGGTTTAGGGGAATTTAGGGGGGGGGGTTTACACACAAAAAATACCAAAGGAGGGGGGGGTTAAACCCCCCCCCCAACCCCCCCCCCCCCCCCCCCCCCCCCCCCCCCCCCCCCTGTGTACGCGCCTGGTGGTACTGGACAGGACCAATTGGTATATACGTCTATATCATCTTTAGATGCGTGCGAGCATAGCGAGCGAGCTTCGGGAGTAATTTCTCATAGTCGCTTGAAATTTGGGGCGTGTTAAATGATAAAAGGAAAAGGGGACACTTATCTGAAAAGAAAAGGAGCATTTTGTCAAATTACAAAGAGTAATTATCAGAGGTGAAAATGGGGCACTTCTTACACCTTCAAAAAGAGGCTCTCAACCAGGGATGAAACAAAGTCAGTCATGAAAATAGGAGATGGACATTAATTTTGTCGACGGAAAGGGGGCCCCCGTCGGATTTCGATAGGGGCATTTATAGGAGGTGAAGGGGGGGGGGGGGGACAGGTCCCTCATTAGAAAGGAAAAGGGGCACGTATCATTGTTAAATGGGAAATTATCAGAGGTGAAAGGAGGAAATTATCGCATTTGAAAAGGGACAATGACCTGATATGAAAAGGGGCACTTACAATAAAAGAAAATGTGCATTAGTTGAAAGAAAATTGGCACCGATCAGATTTTAAAGGGGCATTTATCGGAGGCTATCGGGGCATTTATCGGAAGTTATCGAGGCATTTATCGGAAGTTATCGGGGCAGTTATCTGAAGTGAAAATGAGTATTTTCTCTTACCTGAAAAGGGTCATTTACCACAGAAGGGGCACTTATGGGAGGGGGCTCTTTTTAATGGGGCACTTGTCATTAGGAAAAGGGGAACTTATTAGAAAGGAAAAGGGGCATTGGTTGAAAGAAAATAGACATAGATCAGATTTTAAAGGGGCATTTAATATGTGAAAATATAAGGTGCGCTTATCCGAGTTAAAATGGGGTAGTTATTAAAAGGGGTAGGGGCACTTATTACAAAGGAAAAGGGGCACCTTTCAGATTTGAATAGGGCAATTATCAGAGGTGAAGGGGGCACTTATCAAAATTGAAAAGAGGCACTTTCTCGTACCTGAAAAGGGGAACTTCTAGAGATTGAAAAGAGCACTTATGAGAATGGAAATTGGACACTTATTGCAAAGAAAGGAAAAAGGGAACTTGTCGAAGGAAAAGGGGCACGTGTCCAAATAAAAGGGGCACTTATCAGAGTTGAAAAGGGGAAGAGGCACTTTTAAAAATTAATATGGGAGCTTGTCAAAGTAAAAGGGGCACTTTTCCAATGTAAAAAAGGGAACTTTTCGGGTGCTTGAGAAAGTCCCCCCCCCCCCCCCCTTCCCCACCGGGAGGGCCGCCTCTGGTTCAATGGTTATAAACCAACCTGAGGTATGAACGATCAACGACTGTCACATCATTTTATTTTCAGTTTCTGAAAAAAACGCTTTTGAGAATTGAAGTGCGCCATCTGCGAAAGTACTTTGCCAAATTACAGGGATGCTGCTCCTATGTTTTTTTGATGTCCATAAATGATATTAAACATAATAGAAGTAGAAAGATTTGTTTTAAAATTAGTGATAAAAATACAAAACGTAGTTTTATTATTCTTTATCAATGTATTTCACTATGATTTTGTGTATGAACTGATTATTGAATGCTCTAATAGGTGGTACAAGGTCTATTGTAATTGCATGGATGATATTATAGAGAGAACACCCCTTAAATTAAAAAAAGAAATCGATGATTTGTTTTTCCCTTCTGCTGGAGAAATTTGAAGTATCTACGTCCAAATTGACAAAAATATTGCCTTTTGAGACCGAGCGTAGTGAAAACCCAACATTAACGTCTTCGGGAGATGGATAAGAGAACACGCAGGACTGTCTGGGAAGCTAAAAAGGCTGCTAGACCAGGTAAATTTTGTATTTTAGTTCAATTTCTTCCATCTTTTTTTCGGCGCTGTTTCCTAGTTTTCCGTTTGCATTGTTCTGCAGTGTGCATCATACCGTCACGCACTGTCCGCGCCCAGAAGCTTCAAGCGCAGCGGAAGCGGGGAAAGTGTCGTCCCCAGAAGTAGCGGCACGCCGAGCATACTAATTTGGGTGGCAGATCTCGGAACCGCGGCAGCGGCCGCGTCAAAATTGAACGACATGATAATTAAGAATATAATTATAAAGATCTAGATCTAGACTCTATATTCAACTTAGTCGTGTTAGTCGACATTTTGCTTTGAAAATTAGAAAGATTAGACAATGTGAGGTTCCACTTGGTGTCAAAACTAAAATAAATCTCGAGACAAGACAAGTCCTGACTTTGTTCTTTATTCTTTATTTTAGACATCTATGATATGAGTTAATTATGACATGATTGGTTGATCTTGATATTGATTGAATAATTAATAACCAGATTAACCGCACACCGCGCCGGAGCCACTACTCTAGGGGCGCTGGTCCAAGAATGAGGATCGTCCTCATAAACAAGGATATCCTCATAAACGAGGACAAAATGCGTCCTCAAAAATAAGGGTTGTCTGCATTTTTGAGGACGTTTTTTTTCATTGGCGCTCTGGGGATTTCATGTTACAGAACGGCCTGCTGGCGATGCCAAAAATGGATGGGAAAATAACCCTAGTTCACCGTCTACTTTTATGGGTTGTCCGTCTTCCCAAGGATTTATTGCTTATAATGTGAAAGCCTCTGTACAGTGTCAATGTAAAATGCATCAAGAAAATCATTGCAGAATCCGTTTTTTGCATCGCCAATGCACCGATCAAAAATATGAAACGTCTGCAAAAATGCAGACGGTCCTTATTTTTGAGGACGCATCGGTCTGTGTTTACGAAGACGATCCTCGTTTATGAAGATGATCCTTATTCTCGGACCAGCGCCCCTACTGATCTAGACCGAATTTTCCGTCTCTTTCGTTCGTTAGCCTCTTATTGGGGTAGGGTCGGCCGGCTCTCTCTTTAGAGACGGAAACCGTCTATACACATTCCCTTGATAACGCCACGGCCATTTCAGGTCGTAGCGTTTTGCCCCCAAAATCCCCCAAAATGTCATTTTACCTCGTGCATATCCACATGTAAATTAGGCCTAGAGTCTAGGCTATAATAAATCAGTTCCACTTACCAACTTGACTGAAATAATCAGTTTAATAGTCCCTTTTTAGGAAATTATGGGTCAAAATCGAAATCCATTTTGAAAATCTTTTTCAACATGGATTTCGATTTTGACCCATAAATTCCTAAAAAGAGACTATTAAACTGATTATTTCAGTCAAGTTGGTAAGTGGAACTGATTTATTATAGCCTAGGCCTAATTTACAATATAAAATGCACGAGGTAAAATGACATTTTGGGGGATTTTGGGGGCAAAACGCTACGACCTGAAATGGCCGTTGCGTTATCAAGGGAATGTGTATAGACGGTTTCCGTCTCTAAAGAGAGAGCCGACCCTACCCCAATAAGAGGCTAACGAACGAAAGAGACGGAAAATTCGGTCTACTACTGATCTAGATCTAGATCTTGACCATGATTTCCTCAGAATGAGGATGAGAATGAGGATCATCCGCATATTAACGAGGATGTCCAATGTAAACGCGGAACAAATGCATCCTAAAAAGTAAGGATGGTCTGCGACGATGTGCAAAAACAGATTCCAAAAAAATACCCCTGGTTCACTGTCTACTTTTATGGGTTGTCCGTGTCCCGAGGATTTATCACTCTTTACAACGTGAAGTAAATTTGTATCAAGAAAATCATCGCGGAATCCATTTTTCGCATTGCCAATTATCATTATCAATTATTTGTCTTCTTGACATCCAGAACTCCGAGATCTTGGAGATTGGGAGCGGTTTCAATTCTGTGCCAATTTCCAGCCTCACATCGAAGCCGTACGAGCCAAAGACAACTGCCACAGAGTCGACGTGAACGCAGTGACGACCGATGAGTTCATTGAACTATTTGAGAAACCCGGACGACCATGTGTCATCGTGAAGGATCAAGATACGTGGCTGGCGCAAAAGAAATGGACAGTGCGGGTGAGTACACCGGGAGTGCATCAGTGCAACCGTGCAACCTCAACCTGCATGCAAAGCTGGGGGGTGTTTCACAAAGATCCTAAGTTGAACTTATCTCTAAGTTGGACTTAACAATTATGGAAAGCTGTTAGCATCTTTGAAATATATTTTGTAAACATTATTTTATGAGGAATAAGATGTTGAATAATTTATATTTTCTATTATCAAGGATACTTGAAATGTTGCAATAAAATATATTTTATTTTATGGCTACAAGTGGCTCTCCATAATGTTTAAGTCCAACTTAGAGTTAAGTTCGACTTAGGAGTGAAACACGCCCTAAACAAATGTTTTGTGTTCCTTGGTAAAAACTATTCCATTACTTTAATCAATGGCATAAATATTCATAATTTAATGATACATGCCTAAAAACTAAAACAACAACCAATGGCATTTTGTTGGTCCGTACAGTGAAGGGACACTGGCATTGGGGGGGGGGGGGGGCCTGCTTTTGTTGAATGTTTAAAGGTATAGACCAGTTTTCGTCATGCGATTGCTTTGTGAAAGAAACGTTGTGGTATCGATCAGAAAAGGTTGATCATCCAGCATATAAGTATTGGTGTGTACTGCAAGATTCTGGAATCATCAAAATGATAAGAAATTTGGCCCAGTCTTGGTAAATTACAAGCACTGTACACAGAAAGATGTATAGGACTACCCTATATCTATCTATTCCGGATAGATACAATAATTTTCCAAATATATCATTTAGTAGGCGGTTTACCAGCAAAATTTGTATCATCACGTTTTAGTCAAAACATTCTTTCACATGATTGGTAATAAGAGCTTCCATTCCATTTTTTGAGAGAGGGGGAGTTTCCAAAACTGATCTTTACCTTTAACATGGACTTGCCCACTGGTAAAATTGTAATTTTGTTGTTGTTGATCTACTTTTCAGAGGCTGGCCAAGAAATACCGCAATCAGCGCTTCAAGTGCGGCGAAGATGACGAAGGCTACTCAGTGAAGATGAAGATGAAATATTACGTGCAATACATGCAGAACAACAGAGATGATAGCCCGCTCTATATCTTTGACAGCAGCTTTGCAGACGTAAGTTCAGGGGGGTGTTTCACAACGTTCCTAAGTAGAACTTAACTCTAAGTTGGACTTAAAAATTATGGACAGCCATTGGAGTCTTAAAATGAAATATATTCAAAAGCAGAAATTCAAGTATTTTAGACTTTTTATAAATTCAACATCCAGAACATGAAATCTCCCGTGATAATAGAAAATACGAATGATTTAAATCAACATTTTATGCCTTTTAAAATAATTTTTACAAAATATTTTCAAAGATGCTAATGGCTTTCCATAATTTTTAAGTCCAACTTAGTGTTAAGTTCTACTTAGGATCTTTGTGAAACACCCCCCAGGAATCACAGTTTTACTATCCAAAGTCAGGAAGACCTCAGTCTAGCAAACAGAAAAGTATTTTGTCACAGACAAAAGCTCTTGCTTGATTGATGACACCATTGCAGGGAGGCATTTCACAAAACTTGTCATCAGTGACAAATGGCAGTTTTTGTTATAAGCTACTGAAATCCTTGCTTCTGATTGGTTGTCAACAGATTTGTCACTGATTTTTGTCATTCGTCATTGAGAAAAGGCCTTGTGAAACGGGTCCCAGAAGTGAGTATAGGAATGTTAGATGTAAGAAACATTACAGATTGTAGCCCATCTTTTGAACCTTTGATAGGAGCCACACATTGTATGCAGACTACGTTGCAAGAAAGGCTATAGAAAGACTGAAGCTCATTTTTAAATCTTTGATGCTCTGCAGACATAAGTTGATAAAATGTATGAAAGAAAGAATAGACAATGAAGCTCTGTTTATATATACATGTATCATCAATTGCAGCTTTGCAGATGTTAGGTGAGGAAATGTTATAGCTGTGCAAGAAAAAGAGATTAATGCAGTCCTTTTTGTAGCTTTGCAGAGGAAAGTTGTCAAAAAACAATCTGCACATAAGCAAGGGTCTGGCTTAGACTTTGGCAGGTTTCAATAATTTGAGCCTAAAGGAAGAATAACCTTTCGGTTTTATCCTGGTACTTTTTTTTTTCCCCCTTAGCATCCGAAGCGCAAGAAGCTGCTTGAAGACTACGTCGTACCGCACTTCTTTCAAGATGATCTCTTTCAGTTTGCTGGGGATGAAAAGCGGCCCCCGTATCGCTGGTTTGTGATGGGCCCAGGGCGGTCAGGGACCGGGATTCATATCGACCCGTTAGGCACTAGCGCTTGGAACGCTCTAGTCAAAGGTCATAAAAGGTAAGTCGTTTTATGTTTGTTATAAGATGGCGAAGCGGATCCTAATCAAATGATTGGTTGAAAGCGTACACGTGACCAGGCACTTATTTTGCCTTATACGTAATTTTACTAATGACCGGTCATAAGTAAATGCTTATGACTAGTCATTAGTCATTAGTAAAACATCATTTTATGAAACAAATAAAATATAATCTTATGAAACAAATAATACACATCATTTCGTTCGGGCATTAGTAAAATTACCCACACTTGGTACCTCCGAAACAGTCCATACACCCTCGGCTATCGCCTCAGCGTGTTAGACTGTTCCAAAAGTCTGTGTGATATTTGTATACTATCTATCATCATTGGTAGCGATAAAGCTAGTCATATGGTCATTTGAAGGTATCAATGAGCTGATCAGTGTTTGGTCAGAGATATTGGAATTCACATTAAACATCATCACTTGGAACGTTCTAGTCCGACGTCCGAAAAGGTTGTTTTGATTTGCTTCCATCATGGGATTTTTAAAAGAGATAAATATGGTGTGAGGTTGTAAATATATTTTCTCGTTCTTGTTCTTGACTCTTGAGAGGCAAATGTATTGTAATTATAAATCTAAATTAGGACAAGTCTCTAGTTAAGATCGACATATCGCTGGTTCAATGATTGATTGATTGATTGATTCATTTATTCTTTTACACAAGATAAATCTTGGCTTGTAAATCTATTTTTTCATTCTCGTTCTTGAGAGGCAAATGTGTGTTGTCAGTCATTATGAATCTAAATTAGGAAAAGTCTCAAGTTAAGACCGACATAAACGCTGGTTGATTGATTATTATTATTATTTTATTTGGCAAATCAAGTCACATAATACAACAATATAACAAACATGAATTGAGATTAAAAAATCAATAGAAAGCATATATAAATATTGCAATAGCAGGTGCATCCAGGTATGGAAAAAGTTAACTGTGATCCCTAGACCTTCCTCCCCACGATTTAACCATTTATTCTTGTTTTACTTGTAGATGGTGCATGTTCCCAACTCAGACGCCCAAGGAGCTGGTGAAACCGTCCATTAACGATGGAGGCAAGCAGAGGGACGAGGCAATCATGTGGTTCTCACACGTCTACCCTCGCACTCAAGACCCATCATGGCCACAGGAATTCAAACCAGTAAGATGCTCGCTCCTAATCAAATCAAAATATGCCTCTTAAAGCCCACTGCACTATTTATAGCTACTTGCTCCCTCTATATAGCAAACAATGCGTAATCGGTGCCTGTTGATCCTCCATGATCCTCTTTTGCTTATATTAATTGAGAGCTGATTTGATGAGATAACCACTTGTCAGTGACCTTGCAGGGAGGTCTAATCCACCTGGCCAAACTAGTGCAGATGGGCTTTAATGTGTCTTTGTGTTTGTTGGCCAAAAGAGAGGTAGATGTATGTTGAAGGTACACAACTAGATAAGGCGATTAAAAACGGATGTGTTATTTACGTATATCCTCTTACCCAAGTCCCTCACTACCACATCGTTTTGAACCTTGATTCAATCATTGCAATCACTCTTGTTCTAACTTCTCTCATTCTTTTTCCTCTTTGGCCTCTGTCTGTCTGTTTAGATTGATATTCTTCAAGGCCCTGGTGAAACCGTGTACGTTCCGGGAGGCTGGTGGCACGTCGTTCTGAACCTTAGTACAACCATTGCCGTCACTCAGAACTTTTCTCATTCTTGTTCTTCCTTTTCCTCTTTCTCTCTGTTTAGATTGAGATTCTTCAAGGCCCTGGTGAAACCGTCTACATTCCGGGAGGCTGGTGGCTCGTCGTACTGAACCTTGACACAACCATTGCTGTCTCTCAGAACTTTTCTCATTCTTTTCCTCTTTCTCTCTCTGTTTAGATTGAGATTCTTCAAGGACCTGGAGAAACTGTGTACGTTCCGGGAGGCTGGTGGCACGTTGTTCTGAACCTTGACACTACCATAGCTGTCACCCAGAACTTCTGCAGCAGGACAAACTTTCCTGTAGTCTGGCATAAGACCGTTAGAGGGCGCCCTAAACTCTCCAAGAAATGGTTCAAGTCCCTTCAGGTAAAATTCTGTTTTCTTTGCTCAACTTTAGTTGTCTTTGTCTCTTTGTGCTAGCCTCTTACACACACTCTCTCTCTCTCTCTCTCTCTCTTCCTCTCTCTCTCTCTCTCTCACTCTCTCTCTCTCTCTCTCTCTCTCACTCTCTCACTCTCTCACTCTCTCTCTCTCTCTCTCTCTCTTTCACTTTCCCAAATTCCCTTAGGTTCTTTACACTATCTCTTTCTCAATGTTGTCCCCCATCTCTTTCACCTTGTTCCTCAAGCAATCTTCTCTATCACATCAGTGGAGTATTTCACAAAGACTAAGATCGACTTAAAGTTTGACTAACTATGGCAGGCTATTCATGCCACTAGTTCCTCTAACCATTCCTGGCATTGGTTTCTCAAGGGACGTACAAATCATGGTCGCAAATCTACATAATTTACCTGTTTTAGTAGTTCAATATTGAAGGGAAAAATATTATCTAAAGATCATAATTGAGAGACCAATGGTGAGAGCAACTAGTGGCATGAATGGCCTGTCACAGTTAAGTCCAACCTAAAGTCGATCTCAGTCTTTGTGAAACACCCCCCTATACAGGGGCCCTGTATTGATTTTTTTACTTTGTTTTTACAAATATTTGTTCGTTTTATCCTTTTTGTCCCTTTTTTTTTCTTCCCAAGTCTCTTTAAATCTTATTTATTTCGCTCTCTCTGGCCTGGCCAGCAAATGAAAAATGGCAGTCCAGGCTTTCAAGCCATAGCGAGTTCAGAGTCAATACTCAAGTTACTTACCGCACGATTGCTTGTATGCCTCAAGTGCAATTTTGCACAAAACAATGGGCACCAATTGCCCAAAAATATTACTTTGTGCAACAAAAATGATTTGCAAAATTACACATTTCAAACTGGATCACCAGAGTTTACATCTGTTATATAAAAGCCTTGTTTCTGTTATGACGTAAAGTGTACTATGCTTAAAGATAAAGTCCAGTTATGGTCATGCGATTGCATTGTGAAAGAAACGTTGTGGAATCGATCAGAAAAGGTTGATCATCTAACATATAAGTATCGGTGTGTACTGCAAAATTCTGGAATCATCAAAATGATAAGAAATTAAGCCCAGTCTTGGTAAAGTTACAAGCACTGTACACAGAAACATATATATGGGACTATGCGACACGTGCGTTATATCTATCAGGTCCAAATAGATATAATAATGTACCAAATACATCAATAGTAGGCGGTTTCTCGGCTAAATTTGTATCATCATGTATTTAATAGTCAAAACATATTCTTTCACATGATTGGTAATAAGAGCTTCCATTTCATTTTTTGAGAGGGGGGCATTTCCAAAACTGGTCTTTACCTTTAAGTTTTACCATTCTCCCTATGTCAATCATTTTGTTGTTGCAGAGAGAATGGCCAGAGATAGCAGCTATGGCTGACCACGTGGATCTCTCCAAGCCCAGCGGTCTGCAGTCTGATAGCTCCTCGGATAGCTCCAGCTCTAGCTCCAGCGATGACAGCGCTTGCTCCTCGTGCGAAAGCAGCGGGAACGAATCCGAGGCTGAGAAACGTCACGATAAAAGAACTAAAAGGTAAATAGGAACCTTGAAAGGATGAGGAGGGGGAGGGGGGGGGGGGGGGGGAGGTAGATCCCAATTTTTTCTCTACAGTTTCAGTGGTGGTAGCGCTTGTTCCTCGTGCGAAAGCAGCGGTAACGAATCTGAGACTGAGAAACGTCATGATAACAGAACTCAAAGGTAAATAGGTACCTTGAAAGGATGAGGGGGGGGGGGGGGGAGGAGGGGGCGTGGGGAAGTTAGATCCCATGTTTTCCTCTACAGTGTCAGTGGTGGTAGCTCTTGCTCCTCGTGCAAAAGCAGGGGGAACGAATCCAAGGCTGAAAAACGTCATGATAAAAGAACTAAAAGGTATAATAATAATAATAATAAAAAGGTTACTTATAAAGCGCTTACCACCGAAGTCTCTAAGCGCTATACACACAAAATATACTGATATACAATTACATCTTATACAAAACTAAAAATGAAAATAAACATGCAAATTACAATACATATGGAATACACATCATGGTATATAGGTACCTTGAAAGTAGAAGTGTCGTAGTCGGGTGGCTTAAGCACTTGACTTGCAATTCAAAGGTCGTGGTTTGATCCCCGATATGGCACTAATGTCCTTGGCAAGGCAGTAATCTTCATTTGCCACCCAATACCCAAGAGAGAAATGGGTACCTGGTGCGATGAAGAAAGCATTTGTGAAAGTAATTACCTATCCCCCCACGGTATGGACCATATGGAAGAAATACTCCCCAGGCAGTGGAAATGTTGCAGATTGTGCATGAATGAATCTGATGACCGGGGTAATAACACAGTCAAACCTGCTTTAGTGACCACCTGTCTACAAAGGCCACTTTTTGTGTTTCCCTTGGGCGGTCGCTATAGACAGGTTTGACTGTATTTTTAAAGTGCTTAGAAACGCTATATCGTATTTAGCGCTATATAAATCCCAATTATTATCATTATTGAAAGGATTGGGGGAGAGTGCGGTGAGGGGGGGGGGGATAGGAGTGGAAGGCAGATCTCCATTGTGAGGTGAGGTAGTCCAGTGGTTTAATCACTTGACTGAAATGCAAAGGTTGTGGGTTCAAATGTACATGAAGTAATGCACTGTTGGCTTCAACAGACAATATAGTCTACCCGCTCCCACACATACTGAGTTAATAAGTAAACCAGTCTCTTTATTTATTCTTATCCATAATGTATTATGTGATGGTATTTACAATTATAGTCCCTATTAACATATAACATGAATCCTACAGAACCCATTAATAATTATGTCTTGAATCAATTTTCTTTTCTATTTATCTCAAAAGGCGCAAGGTTGGGAGTGAAGGTGGCACGGATATACAGGAAAACGTGACACACTATGACCCCAGAACGCACATGACGTACACCAGATGACACGGCCAATCAGCTTCAAGCATTCATCCAGGGGCATCCTGGGATAGATTGTAATATTACTGAGTGCTAGCCAGGAGGGTTGCGGACGCAAGGTGTTGCCATATTTTGAAACTGCTTCGTTTTGGAAGCTGAAGTTGTAATACTACTATTCGCTATTCAGAGGATGTATTGTACAGGTATAATATAAACCAAGAAGCATTTGCATATTGCCATAATGACATCCATTTTAAAGCCCCACTGTACTACTTGTAGCTACTTGCTCCCTCTATATAGTAAACAATGCCTAAGCAGTGACCATTGGTGCCCCATGATCATCGTTTTCTAATGTTAATTGAGAGCTGAGTTGATGAGATGGCCACCTGTCAGCGACCATGCTGGGTGGTGTAATCCCTCCTGGCCAGGCTAGTACAGACAGGCTTTAAGGCAAGTAACTTCCGTGTATTGCAAATAAAAATTCAGTGGTGTGTCAATTGTGATTTAATTCTTCTGCAGCATAAAACTTTTGTACAAATCTGAACAATATTTGCAAACATTTCACGATCTTAAAAGTCTCCGGTTTTACTACAGTCTGAGAAGAAATGAAATCTTTAAGATGCAATTTTCTTGAATCAACATCCGTTGTCGGCACATCATTTTGTGCTTTTGTACCAGACATAAAAGTGATTTCCTGTAAGGGGAAGACCAACCTGATATTAAGTTAGTTTTAATAGTAACAGAAAAATTAGAGGAACATGGTGAAAGTTTGAGCAAAATCTGATTAAGAATAAGAAAGTTATTTCTAGTTGAAGTTGTGATCAATCATACACAAATTGGCAACTCTGTGACATAACTTGCGAGTTCCCCTCCCATTTGCTCTGTACTTAAAGTGACTTTTTAATCATGTCAGTGAAAATAGCTTAATTCTTCTCCTGTAACAACAAATCTTGCTAAAACTTGAAAACAAAAAAAATGTTCAAAGTGTCAGTCTCCCGAGAAACTCAATTGACAGATATTTCATTTTTAATATGATTGTAAATTTTGGTATTACAGATATTTTGATTTGTTGTCATTACCAAACAAAATATTCTTTTGAAAAGGAATATTGAGAGAGCATACCAGCTCAGAGTATTATTGATTACTCACCCATCCTTGTGCCATATCCTGTAGAGTGTATACTGATCTTTATTTTCTTCTTTCCTCCTATATTTTCCTTAAAATTTGAGTCCAAGATGTTCAGATAAGAATAAACAAAATTATTTCGCTGCATGAATTCATTAGATACAATTCACTCTGTTTAAAGATGTGCTATTGTGAGAGGAAATTGACAAGTCACTGTTGTACAATGCAAATGCATCTGCGTGCATCAAGGGATTCATTCTTGTAAATAAACTCATGTTATTAAAATAAAAACAAGTATTAGACAATATGACATAATTATGTTATGTTGAAATGTTAAAAGGTGCACTCTTAGTTTATTGTAAATATGAGGAAGGAGCGTTTGAAATAGTTCCAGGGGGGTGTTTCACAGAGACCCCAAGTCGAACTTAACTCTAAGTTGGACTAGATATTATGGAGAGCCATTTGTAGCCTTATAATAAAATATATTCAAAAGCAGAAATTCAAGTATTTTACACTTTTGATAAATTCCACATCAAGAACATGAAATCTCCTTGATAATAGACGATATGAATGATTTAATTGAATCAACATTTTATGCCTTTTAAAATAACGTTTAAAAAATATTTTCAATGATGCTAACGGCTTTCCATAATTATTGCAAAGTCCAACTTACAGATAAGTTCAACCTAGGATCTTTGTGAAACACCCCCGGTATCATGCAGCATTCATTCACATTGCGATCGACTGCACATGTTCTGTGTGTACTGCAGTATGCACGGTGCATTGTGTATTAACTATACTGGCAGGCATGGTGTTTTTTGTTTGTTTTATTTTATTTTGTTCCTGTTCACCACATGATTGACGTCCCTCTGTAATGTAGACAGGCATTAGAGGTTCAGTTAACTCTGCATAAACTCAGAGATGCACAAGTCAAATTTTGCCCAAGTCAAAGCATTGTTTTAGACCAAACTATGCCAAATTTGTGTTATTTATGGACAGTTAACTGTACTTCATGAAAAGCCTTTGTTTTACGATTTGTAAAGAAAAATACTGAAAAAGCAGTTATTTTCACAAATTTTGTTAATCACTCTTTGAGGAGGAGGAGGAGGAAGAAGAAAGGAAAAAAAAGAAGAAGAAAACAAAGGAGGAGGGAGGGGGAGGAGAAAGGGAAGAAGAAGAAGAGAGAAGAAGAAGGAGGAGAAGAAGAAGAAAAAGAAGAAGAAGAAGAAGAAGAAGAAGAAGAAGAAGAAGGGAGAAGAAGAAGGAGAAGAGGCTTTTGTAAGATAGCAACAGACTGAATTAAAAAATTCTTGAGCAGGACTTCACGCTGGCAGCATAGGAGGGATCAAAGCAGTGGCGAAACTAAATGCATATTTTTGTTACCATATTTTGTTACAAGTGACTGTGACGTGCTGAAATGTTGTTAATATACAACCTGTATCATGATTTGCATCTGCATTAAAATGGCAATGTTAAACTTGTGAGAGGATGAATAGACTTGTAAAGTCATTAGTTGATATTTATAAGTATGCCAGTGATGTGATCGCAACTACTCTTTAACAAAGATCCTAAGTTGGACTTCACAATTATGGAAAGCCATTAGCATCTATGAAACTAGTTTGTAAAAGTTATTTTAAAAGGCATAAAATGTTGATTCAAATCGTACATAGGAGATTATCAAGGAGATTTCATGTTCTTGATGTAGAATTTATTAAAATTCAATTTTTGCTTTTGAATATGCCTTGTTTGAAGGCTACAAATGGTTCTCCATAGCTTTTAAGTCCAACTTAAGAGTCAAGTTTGAATTGGGATCCCCCCCCCCCCCCCCCCCCCCCCCCCCCCCCCCCCCCCCCCGATATGATTATCTAGTGCTGCAGTATCCTTTTTTGTGTTTGATCATTTATTAGCTGACAATTTTATTTAAGGAATTAGGACTGCTATTCTACATGCAAATCACTCTGTAACGATGTATCACAATCATTAACGTATTATTCAGCTACTTGCGCTCAGATCGATTCCTATAATTAATTTATTATTAAACAATTAGGAATTGAACTGCTATCGTCACGTAAACCTGTTGAATAAGTCACTACTCATCCTCTTTCCAATAGCTGTCCATCAAGTTACTTGATAATGACATTTTTATTTTCGGTTATTGATTTTGATTGCATCATTATTAGTATTATTGGGTGGTATTCGGGTAGCGCGTACTAGTTAGTCCACACTTTTATGGAGTGCCTATTGCCAACTCATTTACCCTGTACAGATTATTTTAATCCTTGAATGAAAAGTGTCTTAAGAAATTAATTTTGCAATGAAATGGGAAGAAAAAGATAATATGAGTATGAAACAAATTTCAACAAAGTCTTTGGTAGATTATCTTTGTCATGAACATTGAAGGAGGAAGATGAAAGCTAGCATTCCATAGAAGTGTGAACTAAAATTCTTGTTTAGTCTGGACTTAGTCCCGGCTTAACTTATGAGAATACCACCCATTTATTATTATCTTTATTATTATCATTATTATTGTCTTTATTATCATTATTATCATTTTTATTGTCTTTATTATCAATATTATTATTTTTACCATTATCACAATTGTTATCTGACATTACCATTATTATTTATATTCTTATTATTCATTATTTAACATGGGTACTTGGTGTTGTTCATCTTGATTGGAGGGGGGGGGGGGGGTGGGGGGCATATGCTGTTTGCCCACAGAATTGCTTTCTGTCTAATCTATTCATTTATTCAAGCTGAACATGAATATTCATATTTGCATATATTATGTATGACCTCGTATAAGCCTTTTGCAGCCAAGTTAATGCATGTGCACCATTGTTCTGTTATCATTGTATTTTTGTTTATTTCAAATTTGCAATAGAATGCAACATGAATGAAATTTGCCTTTTTCTTCTCATCATTTGGAAAGATTCTCGAGTTAGAGATTGAGAGAAAGATGGGAATGGGGCTAGTGAGTTTGAAAATGAGAGTGTGAAGAGAAAAAAATGGTGGGATACTTTTCCTTTTTTATTGTTGAAAAGAAATGTATGAAACAAGGACATTCAGTTAAAGGGGCATGTTCCCCATATTCCAGAGGGCGCTCAAAATACATACGTGCTGGCGGACGGTGCTATAGCTGCATATTGACACCAACAGAATACGGCTCTTATGCATGTTCCGATAACTACACAAGCGGGAACGTGCCCCTTTAAAGTCACATAGAAGTCAGCTCTCATGGGGAATTCGACACCGTTCGGGTGTTTACCCAAATAACAGGTGTTGTCAATCACCAGGGTTAGCCTCGAGTTTTATGACCATTATACCTTATGTAATGCTTTGCTTTTCCTTCGCCCGAATAATCTCCGAGCATGCTCCGAGAGACTAGGGGGTAATTCTTGACGGGCCAACGGGTTTGCTGTGTGCAGATTTGTACTCCCATCAATGGTATTTCCACCAAGTCTGGTGTCAGCGAATTATAGCCTTCTGCACATGGAAACTGACTACCCACTCCCTTTAACTCTGCATACGGTAACTAAAAAAAGGCGGACAAGTCAAATTTTTGAGGTCAAGTAATTTGTCTGTACTGTACCAAACTATGCAAACCATATCATTTAATTTTCCGAGTTGAAGTTTTGCACATTTTTGCCGTCCCAACATGATTGCTTTATGCAGAGTTAACCGTTTGTCTAGATGACTGATAAAGATAGAGAGAAAGACGAGGGATAGAGAGGGATATACTTGAGGGGAGATGAAAAGATGAAATTGAGAGAGCACATAGATCAAGGCTGAAATAAACATGGTTATTGAGAGAACAGAGAGGGGGGGGGGGGATGTTTCACAAAACTTGTCATCAGTGACAAATGACAGTTTTTGTTATAAGCTAGTGAAATCCTTGCTTCTGATTGGTTATCAGCAGACTTGTCACTGATTTTGTCATTTGTCATTGAAAAAAAAAAGGCTTTGTGAAACACCAACCAGGGATTCAGGAAGAAATTGAAACACTAGTACAAGATTGGGAGGGAGAGAGAAAGAGAGGGGGGGGGGGGGGGAGAGAAAGGGATTGAGGCAAGGAGAGAGGGAAAGGAAGAATTGGAACAAAGGGCGAGGAAGAGAAAGAGATTAAGATTATAATATATGAAAACGATTGCCTTGAAACACAGAAATAAGATTGGGAGAGAGAGAGAGATGGAGGAAAAGAAAGGGATTGAGGGAAGGAGAGAGAGGAATGGAGAGGAGTGAAAGAAAGAGTTGGAAACAAGAGAGAGGAAGAGGAAGGGGAGGAGAAAGAGATTAAGATTATAATATATGAAAACGATCGCCCTTAAAACACAGAAATAAGATTAGGAGAGAGAGAGGTTGAGGAAAAGAAAGGGATTGAGGGAAGGAGAGAGAGGAATGGAGAGGAGTGAAAGAAAGAGTTTGAAACAAGGGAGAGGAAGGGGAAGAAAGAGATTAAGATTATAATATATGAAAACGATTGCCCTTGAAACACAGAAATAAGATTGGGAGAGAGAGAGGTTGAGGAAAAGAAAGGGATTGAGGGAAGGAGAGAGAGAAAGGAAGGGAGAGCAGTGAAAGAAAGAGTTGGAAAAAAGAGAGGAAGTGAAAGAGAAAAAAAATAAGATTATACCTGTATATATGAAAATGATCAACAGAGAGAGTGTATGGGAGGGAGAGAAGTGAGAGAAATAGGGGATAAAAAAAGGGGTAAAGAGACCAATAATATAAAATATATGAAAACGATCGAGAGAGGGAGAGTGGGAGGAAGAGACAAAGATTAAGTTATGTGGTAAGGGTTTACAGACAGAGAGAAATTCATTAATTAGTCTTGTGGGTGGCGGTAACATCGAATTTGAATTATCAATATCCCGACTCAACTATTATCTCTGTCCCCTTTCTCAATAAGCTGAATATCTGAGGATTCTGTCCACTGATCCCTATTGCCCAGATGCAACGTGGGTTGCAATTTTTATCGCTAACCCGTTGACTACTGAGTACTCTAATCCCCATAGGCTTAATGCTCCCCAGGGAGTGGAAAATGTGCACACATTGTGTGCGGGTAAGCCTGAATCCGATGACCGGGGTAATAATATATCTGTAAAGCGCTTAGGCACATCATTGGATCGGTGTATTGAGCGCTATATAAAAAACGGTTTATTATTATTATTATTATACTATTATACATAGAACATCCGGTTCCAGTAGGCAATGGGCTAAAGGAGTCGAGGTGGAAACATATTTCCATGAAACAGCAAGGAATATGCAGGAGTGATAGTCAGTACCAAAAAAAAAATAGGTTTTTATTTTTTCCCCCAACCACGCCCCCCTTGAGTAAAAAAAGAAAAAAGAAGAGGATTCGGGGGGAAAAATGGCATCTAACAACATTTCCACCCTTTTGAGTAAGAAAAATTGGGGAATAATAGGGAAAAATAAGGAAAAATAACGAAAATAAGGGAAAGATCAGGGAAATCGGGAGTGAATCGGGAAGAAAAAAAAGGAAGAAAACAAATCGGGTAAAAAAAGATATTTAAAAAACTTGAAAATCAGGAAAAAATATCGGGAAGGAAAACAAAACCGGGGAAAAAATGGGAAAAAATAAAAAAATTGGGAAACCGAATTTAAACTGGGCTTTTATCAGGCCTGAATATGTTGGTCTAAAAGCTTTATCACTCTCTTTGCACGCGTAGTGAATCTGGCGGAAAATGAAAGTGAGAAATAAGAGCAAAGAGCCACTATCTATAACATAAAAAATCACACCACAGAAATATCAGAACTAGAAATCCTGGTACATGGATTATATTTGTAGTATTTTATTTTATGATAACATAATTCTTGTAGCATTTTCACATTTTTTTTCACCCAGGTCAAAATTCCAGTTGATACCACTTGAAACCTGTAAGGATTTCCAACTGGTATCTACTGGTTTGAACTGGTCGCAACAACAGCCGACACGTTCATCGCTTTGAAGCTTTCTTTGCCATCACACAGTTGTCTATACTATAGTGACACATTATCGTCACCCAGGTCGAAAATCCAGTTAAAACCAGTAAGGATTTTCAACTGGTATCTACCGGTTTGAACTGGTCGCAACAACAGCCAACACGTTCATCGCTTTGAAGCTTTCTTTTTCATCATATGAAGTCTCTTCATGGCAGAGGCTGTACTTGTCTGCGGCAGTGCCTTCCCCGATGCCGAGCTGCTCGACATTGCCTTCGCCGGGGCCGATGAAGCGGAGGGCGCGTTCGGCCATTTGCCCGACTGCGACACGGACGTCGACCGCTGCACGCTCTGCGGCTTCAGGGCCTTCCCACTCATCGTCGTTGACGTGCCCGAGGTGCTGGAGCTGCGACTGGTGATGGAAGAGGGCGCTATTTTGGCTCCAGTGCTGGTTATGATACGACTGGTGCCAGAGGAGGAGGATTTGGAGGACGAGGAATGCTGTCGATTGGTCAGATTAGCGGCGTAGCTGGCTAGACCCCCAAATGGCTGCTGGGCACTGCTGGTGGATGTTGGTGAAGGCTGGACATCGGGAGAAATAAAATGATAACAAATGGTCTTATCAAGACAGGCTAGCTTTATTGATATTAATACTGCTCTTTCTGTGGGACCTGCAATATCTTTATTACGGGAAATCCAACCTGGGAAGATTTTCTTTTGCGACAGCCAAACAAATTGAAGAAAAAAATATCGATACAGCTTAGAATGATATATCTAATGATATGATGATATATAAAACATAATAATAATAATAATAATAATGGGTTCTTGTATAGCGCTAATGTCAGTCAGATTTGACCCTCCTGGCGCTCCTGATTATTACCCTGGATTTAGCACGGCTGCCATACAGTGCTCTAGCATTTCAAGGAATAAAAATTCCTACCAGGTACCCATGATAAAATAGGGGTAGGGTTATATTTAAGGTGGCTGTCGCAAAAGGAAATCTTTCCTCCAACCTCAACAGAGAACCATTTTGAGCAACAGCAGACAAATAGGGCAATTAGATCCAATCAATTGATTCTGACTGAAAATTTGGCCTGATTTTAGACAACAAATCAATAGAAATGGTCATGTTTGACCAAAAGGTGACCAAAATGACCATATTGTTATTGATGGGGCTCAATGTGACCACATTCTCTAGCATCAGAGAGTTTTTTTTACATAGAAAGGTAGCATCTAATATCCTTTGCTGATAATAACGATTGAATATATATAACCCTTGATCAAAAGTGACTGTAATGGTCAGCTTGTCGTGAGTAGGGTCAATAATTTCTTTAATCAGTGCAATTTTTTCTCGATTGAGCTATTCAAATCATCCCCCGAAAAAAGTATGATTAACATTCCCTTGTCTCCTGGGCCAAGGTATATAACAAGCCTAGCCACAGCTGATACGATGTTGACTTTTTCCCATGATGCATTACATGAATTCAACAGAACACTGGTGTCGCTAGATGCCACTGTGAATTCCACCTTACTGAATATTGAAGCCTATCTGCACTAGTTTGGCCAGGTGGAAATTAGACCTCCCTGCGTGGTCACTGACAGCTGGTTATCTCATCAAATCAGCTCTCATTTAACATAAGAAAAAGGGGACCACGGGGGATCAATGGTCACCGATTAGGCATTGTTTGCTACATGTATATAGAAGGTGCAAGTAGCTATAAGTAGTGCATTGGGCTTTCAGTAAAATCACCTTAGGATCAGCTCTCCTGAATAGGTTCATGGGAGACGTCTGATCCTGGTTTTTCTCCTGGTCTTTCGCCGACGATGATGACGATGAGGAGGAGGATGAGGAACCGGTCGTGATCACCGTCTCCGGAAGGTTGGCCGGTTTCTTTGCAACCTGAAAGAAGGAGATCAAGGATAATTGATTTGTAATGTTTTGTTGGAAACATAAATAAATTGAAATTGAATTGAATTGAGAGATATCTATTTATTGTATTTAAAGTGGTTTATCGATGAGAAATCATTCATGGCCAGATAGCCAAACTGCACATTCTTTTACAATCATAATATAGTTAAAATGGATATATAAGTTAACAATAATTAATTAATATCAGTGAAAATGCAAGACTTTTGAAGAAAAAAAAACATGACCCAGGGCATCAATAAAGGTTCACTATGATAAAGATGCATGTAGTAGGCTTTACTAAGGTTCTACTACATGCATCATTGCATCCTCATCATAACAAACATCAGGATATCAAACCCTAGATTCTGAGGAGAAGGAGAAAGAGGAGGAGAGAGAGAGCGAGAGAAGGAGAAAGAGAAAGAGGAGAAGGAGAGAGCAAGAGGAGAAGAAGAAAGAGCAAGAGGAGAAGGAGAAAGAGAAGGAGAAAAGGAGAAGGAGAGAGTAAGAGGAGGAGAAGAAGGAGAGAGCGAGAGGGGGAGAAGGAGAAAGAGGAGAAGGAGGAGGAGAGAGCAAGAGGAGAAGGAGAGAGCGAGAGGAGAAAAAGGAGAGAGTGAGAGGATGAGAAGAAGAGAGCGAGAGGAGAAGGAGAATAACTCATAAAGGAAAAGCTAAAAGGAGAGATGAAACATTGTCTATCAGATTGCAAGGAAATTTTGATGAAACGTAAGTGGGACTGTTCTTACCATTTTCTTCATGTTGCGTTTACATTGGGCACAGTACCAGACCAGTCTGGGATCATTGGGGTCTGTGTCGGTTACAGGAGGGGTGTGGCATTTCTGCAAAATTACACAAATATCAACAAATAAACAAATACACCAATAAATAAATAAATTAACAAGATAGTAACTGCAATAGATTCAATAAACAAAATAAAGAAATATATAAAATACATACATGTAAATACAAAAATATGTATTATACAAACATACGTAAAAAAACTAACATACAAAATTACATAAACGAATAATAAATCATTAAAAGGGTAATGAAAATGTTCATTATCATCATTTATCTGTATCAAATTTAGTCTCAAAGTTGCTAATATAGTCACTGTAGTAATTATTTACTTGATAATTATTTGTCAACATTGTCATCGTAATAAAGTTAATAAACATATGCTTTCTTATCACCATCGTCATCACCATCAACTTCAAGAAGAACATAATCACCACCATCAGCATGGTTATCATCAACATCATAAACATCTTCTTTGCCATCATCAACATCTACATGATGTTCATCAGGAACAGAGTTATCAGCATCATCACTATCATCATCTTTACCATCACCACAACCACTATCTCCACCACAATCACCACCATCATCATCAGTATCATCGTCATGACTACTTACTTGATGATATAGATTATGGCATTAATATTCCTGGCATTCAATCAGAGTGTTTCCAGCTGATATTTTGAAATCCTTACAGACGACACAAGCTAGGCCCAACCACATCTCATCATCATCATCATCATCACCATCATCACCATCTTCACCATCATCATCATCATCATCATCACCACCACCATCACCATCATCACCATCATCATTATCATCACCCCAACCATCATCATCATCATCATCATCATCATCATTATCATCACCACCACCACCACCACCACCATCATCAGCACCACCACCACCACCACCACCACCATCATCACCACCACCACCACCACCATCATCACCACCACCACCACAACCACCATCATCATCACCACCACCACCACCACCACCACCACCATCACCACCACCACCACCACCACCATCATCATCATCATCATCACCACCACCACCACCACCATCATCATCATCATCATTATCATCATCATCACCACCACCACCACCACCACCACCACCACCATCATCATCATCATCATCATCATCATCACCACCACCATCACCATCATCATCATCATCATCATCATCATCATCACCACCACCACCACCACCACCACCACCACCACCACCATCATCATCATCATCTCCACCACCACCACCACCACCACCATCATCATCATCATCATCATCATCATCATCATCTTCATCATCATCGTCGTCGTGATCATCATCACCATCGATCATCATCATCACCACCATCACCAGTATTGTTGTCATGACTACTAACCTGATGTTATAGATTACGGCATTCCTGGCCTTCAATCAGTGTGTTTCCAGCAGATATTTCCAAATCTTTACAGACGACACAAGCTAGACCTAACCACATCTCATCATCATATCATATCATCATCATCATCACCATCACCATCATCATCATCACCACCATCACCAGTATCGTCGTCATGACTACTAACCTGATGATATAGATTATGGCATTCCTGGCATTCAATCAGTGTGTTTCCAGCAGATATTTCCAAATCTTTACAGACGACACAAGCTAGACATAACCACATCTCATCATCATCATCATCATCATCATCATCATCATCATCACCACCACCATCACCGGTATCATCGTCATGACTACTAACCTGATGATATAGATTATGGCACTCCTGGCATTCAATCAGCGTGTTTCCAGCAGATATTTCCAAATCTTTACAGACGACACAAGCTAGACCTAACCACATCTCATCATCATCTGCCGCGGCTCCTGGCTTCTCTTCCTCCTTCCCAAACTCTGGCTCATCGTCTGAAAGGAGAAGGAAATCCAAGTTGAATTGTTCACCCGCAACTATGTCACTGATCAATAAACTTCCAACAACATGTACATGTGAAACCTGTCTATAAAGATCACCCAAGGGAGACAAGAAAAGTGGTCTTTATAGGCAGGTGGTCTTTAAATACAGGTTCATTTAGAATGTTTTAGAAACCATTTTCAAGGGAAACCATTTTTGACCAGGTGGTCACTAAAGCAGGTTCGACTGTAGTATTACAAATGATTTCACTTCATGCCTTCTCTTCTTCATTCCTTCTTTCTTGACTCTCTCATCACTGCTCTGACTTGTCTGCTCTTGCTCCTCTTCCTTCTCTTCTCTCCTTCTTTCCTACCTTCCTCCTACCTTCCTCTCAACTCCTTCAAGTATCTATTACCCAACCACTTATTTTTCTCTTTCCTCCTTATTTCTCTCCTTTAATTCCCTCCTCTGTACTGACTTGCATTCTATTTCTTCTCTTCCCTCTGTGTCTCTCTCCTTCTTTCATACCTTCGTCCCTGCTGCTCTGGCTCATCTTCTCTTCTTTCTCCTCTCTCTGTTCATCTTCTTTATCATCATCATCCCCCTCCACAACCTTTTTCTCCTTTCCCTCCACTGTACTAACTTGCATTCTATTTCTTCTCCTCTCTCTGTTTCTCTCTCCTTCTTTGTTACCTTCTTCCCCGCTGCTCTCACTCATCTTCTCTTCTTTCTCCTCTCGTCTTCTTTATCATCATCCCCCTCCACAACCTTTCTCTCCTTTCCCTCCACTGTAGGCCTACTAACTTGCATTCTATTTCTTCTCTTCTCTCTGTGTCTCTCTCCTTCTTTCTTACCTTCTTCCCCGCTGCTCTCGCTCATCTTCTCTTCTTTCTCCTCTGTCTGCTCTTCTTCTGTATCATCATCATCCTCCTCCTCACCCTGATCATCGTCGTCGTCATCATCATCATCATCGTCGTCATCGATGACAGGTTTTCGTGGTTGAATTCTCGACTGACGGACCTCTGGTTCTATCTTTGGTTTCTTGGCGGCAATGCCTGAATCCCCAGTGGACAGAGCCGCTCCAAAACTGGACTGTAATAATATACAGAAGTGATGATAATCATGGTAATTATTATTCTTTCATATATCAACAAGGCTCATCATACACAGGGGCAGAGGGCGATTTGCCCCTGTGAGCTTCATAATTGTAAAATCAAAAATCGGCCCATGGAATTATAAAATAAAGATTATCTTTTCTGTTATAACTTTCACACAATATTGAGCTTCAACTTTCAAACATTAAACCAATGAAATGGAACTATGGAAATTACGTTAGCGTGCAGTATTTCTCGCTCAAATTTTTCGGTGTCTAGAGGCTGCCATATTGTAAACAAATGAACGTTTTTTGGCCGCAAGATTGCGCTATATCTCCCAGTATAACAGATACAAACAACGGGAGTTCACAGACCGAGGCCGTCAGCACTGGCTATACTAGCTGCGCTGGTAGTATACTGGTGTGCATGCTGCTGCCCCATATCTGCTGGAGCTAGATAGAGGTGATCCTGGAGAAGTTTTTTTGTTGTGAAAGTTTAGTAAAAGGAAACCAGTCGGCAAGGAGGCGACTGTTAGCTGCATGTTATAACGTGTAAAGTTGTAAGTGGGAAATAATGCCGATAATGATGAAATAGCAAAGAATTTAGGAGTATCATAGGTACCACCAATTCAATGGAAATTTGTATTAAAAAAAGAGCACCTTTTTTTTGGAAGAGCCCCCATGGACAAAAAATAATTTGAGCCCTGTATATCAACCATACATGTAGCTATTTAAAGCCCTACTGCACTACTTATAGCTACTTGCTCCCTCTATACAGCTAACAATGCCTAAGCGATGCCTGTTGGTCCCCCAGGATCCCTCTTTTCTTATGTTAATTGAGAACTGATTTGATGAGATAACCACCTGCCACTGACCTTGCAGGGAGGTCTAATCCCTCCATGTCAAACTAGTGCGGATGGGCTTTAAAACTAATAATGGTTTGCATATGACATCAGTTGTGGGTTGTCAATATCAGTGACGGGATATTATCTTTATCACAATCATCATCATTCATCACCACCATCATCACCATCACCCTCACCATCACCATCATCACCACATTTATTAGTATCATCACCTTCATCATCATCATCACCACCACCATTATTAGTCTCATCGTCATCTTCTTTATCACCATCACCACCACCACCATCATCATCATCAGTACCACCACCACCACCACCACCACCATCACCACCACCACCACCACCACCACCACCACCACCACCATCATTACCACCACCACTACCACCACCATCATCACCATCATCATCATCTCCACCATCATTACCACCACCATCATCACCATCATCATCATCACCACCATCATTACCACCACCACCACGATTATCACCACCACCACCACCACCACCACCACCACCATTATTATTACCTTTTCAGCAGGTCTCTTGACAGTAGTCTTCTTGGCTGGTACCTCAGGCCTTGATGCAGGCACAGATGGAGACGCAGGCTTACTGCTCAGCTACATGAACATATATATACAAACAGAAAAAAATGAAATCTCTACAAATTATCTCAGGACAGATTCTCAAAATCCTTGCAAGCTTTTGTTTGTGAACGTCTCATTCAAATGCATGGATGTTAATTCTATAAACTTGTGTTTTTTGGGGACATCCAAGACCTTAAGACCTTAAGACTTACAACAGTTTCTAGAAATGGGCCCCAGAATTAAAATGCTCAAAAGTCTTCATCTTCAAGTTCATGTAAAAGTTCAATACCTATGTCGTATGTTAAGCCTCGGTCACAAATGCCATTACGAACTGCTACGAACGCCGTACGAACGATTTTCAGACAATGGAAATTCGGGAAGACAATGGAAAAACGGAGATTCGTACGAAATTATCGTTTGTACGAACCTTTTTGACCGTAGCATAAAATATGACAGCATTACAGCAAAGTTCTACAGGGTACGTACAGTACATAAAAATCAGCTGATTACAGATGAAATCTCAAGCCAATGGAGTAACCCAGGGGCCCCGTTTCATAAAACTTGTTATCTATATCAAACAAATGCTAAATTTCTATGACAAATTTGCTCTCAGCCAATCAGATGCCATGATTTCAGTAGCTTATACAGTAGCTTGTAACTTGTTATTGATTGCAAGTTTGATGAAACAGGGCCCAGATCTTGCAATAATTGCACCAATCAGTTACGTTCTGGGGGACAGGGTGGGAGGGGGGGGGGGGTTGACAATGAGCACAGTACATCATCAAAGCAAATCACTTTCTGAAAAGCAACCTCAACAAGGACCAAAGTCTAGGGTAGTTTTGATACCATCTACATAGGAACCATCTAACAGCTCCCTTTTTTGTGTGTGTACACGGATGATGCACAGACCTTGATGAGACACACGCCCCTTGGGGTCACTCCAGCAAAGCAAAGAGAGTCAATGCGTATTGACCTCTAGCACTGCATACTTGCTATGAGGCAGGTATTATTAGATCTATACAAAAATACACACACCACACAATATTGCATAGACTGCACACAATCATGCCGATGCGGCTGTAAGCAAAGTTTGACAGTAGACTTATAATTTAAAGTTTTAAATTATTCTTTTTAACTTCAGTAAGTTGAAAAAAATTATTTTACTGCTATTTAGGTGTCATCAATTGTCACTAAAGTACCGATTTTGAGTGAAATCAGTTGAGTTTTGTACAGTGGTGTTTGAAATGTTGAGAATCAAAAGCACAGCTTTTACTACACAGCCAGGATAGTGATGCTCCTATGTGTGCTCGGGGTCACATTACCTTTCCAGTGGTCTTGCCAAGGACATCATCCAGCATCTGTTTCAGCAGGTCCGTTGAGTCTTTACTCTTAGACCGCAGAAGGGCCAGGGCCTTCATGAACAGCGGGTCCAGTTCTATACTCGCCATTTCCTTCGGATCTAACCAGAGACTGGCAGAGAGTGAAAGAGAAATACACTAAATTATACATTCCAGTGAAAAAATACATGGGGGCTCGTGGCAAATTAGCCCCCAAAATGCCCAAAAGAGCCCCTGAAAGTCATAAAAGACATAAAAGAGTTTAATGCAAAACAAATTAAAGAGTGTTATTTTCATGCAAGCAAGCTTGAAAAGTAGCCCCCGAAATTTTTAAAGTATTTTTTACCTGATTTATTCCCTTACCATGTTTTGTAATTTTTTAAGTATGTGAACAATCAATTTGTCTCAATTTATGTTTCTTGAGAATGTGAAGTAGTAAAGCTTACATCTAAAAGTATTCAACGAAAGCCCTAATTCAACCAATCCATCTTCTTTCTTGAGTTATGAAAAAAACAAAAAGCATCAAATTTACAAGGGGTAGGCCTATTTAGTTTGTTTTAAAGTGTAAATGCTAAATTACAAGGAGAAGAGAGTAAAAGAGAAATAATTATCTCTAGTCAAACTAAGAAAAAGACAGAAAGAAATAAGATTAAAGAAGAGTGGGCTTCGGATCATAAATTACCCGATCTCATGTGATGCCATGTCAAGCCCAATCGGCAAGCAACGGCAAGTGTGTCATGTGTTGTGATATTTTGAGCATGACCAGAGTTGGTGAAAATGGTGGATGTGAAATAGTTTATCCACTTCCTGACATCTCCGTAGCTAGGAGGTGGCCGAAAAAGTGTGCAGTTGGTTCCATCAAATTCATGAAACGACACCCTGGCGCGGCGCACACCCCCAGGGCCCCGTTCCTAGAAACCGTCATAAGTCTAACTTCTTGACTATCCCATTGAAACGCATTTTAATTCTATAACACACGTTTCAATGGGATAGTCAAGAAGTTAGACTTACAACGGTTTCTAGGAACGGGCCCCTGCAGATCTAGATACTAGGGCCTATTCAGTTTTCTTTCATCTTTGGCCTTAGTTTCAGTTTTACTCTTTGGCTTTGCTTTGCTTTGCGCCTAATCCTCCGTTAGAACTCTAACGCATGGCATAGATCTAGGCATAACGCGCGCCAGTCCGAGATTGCCCGCCCGCCCGTGTTGGCATTGCATTGGCTAGCGAGCTAGCTAGCGATCGCCTAGACCGAAAGCTTCAGTCTCTATAAATCGTCGGTTGTTCCACTGAGACTACGTCTGGCTCCACTAGACCTCCGGTTATAGAGACTGAACGGTCGCCTATACCATCGTATGTTGAAGATATCACGGCTAGATTTTAGCGACATCGACATCCATGTTGAAAAAACTGTGCGCCATCTACACGTTCGTAATGGCGTTATCACAATTTTTCCTTCATAATCATTTTGCCTTCCGCGTAGACTAGAAGGGATGAGATTGACGGCAGCGAGAGTTTAACACGGCTTGCAAGATTTTCAACATGGATGTCGATTTTGACCCATAATTTCCTTAAATTAAAAGGGACCATTAAACGGATTAGGCCTAGACTCTATTTCAATCAAGTTAGTAAGTGGAACCAATGTATTATAGCCTAGACTAGGCCTAATTAAAATTGGATATAGATCTAGTCTACACGAGGTAAAATGACATTTTGGGGGATTTTGGGGGCATAACCATAACAATATGGCCGTGGCAAGTTTGTCATGTTTGTGGGAGGGGCCTAACACTACAGCTAAAATCTAGCCGTGATATCTTCAACATACGATGGTATAGGCGATCGTTCAGTCTCTATAACCGGAGGTCTAGTGGAGCCAGACGTAGTCTCAGTGGAACAACCGACGATTATAGAGACTGAAGCTTTCGGTCTAGCGATCGCCTTGCGCTTGCCGCGGTGCAGTAGCACTATCAATCGAACTATACGTAGCTTAGTACGTGTACGGTACACAATTTTAAACTAACGGGACTGTACATCAAATAAAGGATAAAAACAACCGGGTGTAGATCTAGAGGTCTACAGTGAATCCTCTCGTAGAAACTTGAGGATAAAATAATGGTTTATTCTGAAAATTAGCAAATATGTCATACGTACCAAGAAAAAGATGCTAAGCAATATATAACCAGCTTTTATTCCCAAGAAAAAGAGAAACTTAAACTTCATCTGCGGATGAATCTAGACAACACTTTGGTACTTAGCGTGCAAAAATAAAGGGGCTTCAAATAGGCAAATAATAAACGAAAGTATATCAAAGATCCTTGGTTTTCCATTTCAAAATCTGTTCTAGTCTTGGTACCTCTTTTAAGGAGGATTGAAGTGAAAGAGAAAGAAGAGAGGAATATTATATAGCAGGGGGTGGGGGAAACTAGATCGAGAGAAAGAGAGAGAGAGAGAGAGAGAGAGAGATTGAGAGAGAGGGAGAGAGAGAGAGAGAGAGAGAGAGATAGGGGTTATGGAGATAAACCTATAAAGCCTCATGTCTGTATAATTTGTAATCCCAAATGGGCGAACACACGTACATTCTCTCACTTCCTCTCTCTCTGTCTCTCTCTCTCACCACATTTTCCAACCTCCTCCCCTCACACACACATGCATATACGCACACAAACACAAACACATCAACAAGCAAGCCAACACGGCCTCTCATTTCCTTATTAATGGATGTACATGTTCAAACATGGAAACTCATTATAACCAAAGAAATTACCTTGTTATATCAGGAATCTTGTTATATCGGCGTAAAAAAAACATAAGAATATAAAGAGCTGGGACCAGCAAAATCACCTTGTTATATTGGAGCTCTTAATACTGAGGTTCCGTTGTTAAAACCCTTACCTCTTCTCTGCTCTGTTTACTATAATGGCAACAATAATATTTTTCATTCATTACTACATTGTTATGATGAAATAATAAATTGTAATGCATCTATATAAAGCATTATCTGAGTAGGATCTTTGTCAAAAAGTTTAAAATACATGTATTGCCAATTTTTTATAGAAAAGGATATTTTGTTGTTGTTGAACTGGTAAAGATTTAAATTCCTGGCATCAAACTCAATATGGTCATGCAAGAAATAGGGATGCAGGGGTGGAAAATGTCTTTTTTTACTCCTGGGGGGTGTTTCACAAAGATCCTAAGTTGAACTTATCTCTAAGTTGGACTTAAAAGTTATGGAAAGCCATTAATTAGCATCATTGAAAATATTTTGTAAAAGTTATTTTAAAAGGCATAACATGTTGATTCAAATCATTCATATTTTCTATTATCATGAAAGATTTCACGTTCTGGATGTGGAATTTATAAAAAGTAGAAAATACTTGAATTTCTGCTTTTGAATGTATTTCATTTTAAGGCTCCAATGGCTGTCCATAATTTTTAAGTCCAACTTAGTGTTAAGTTCTACTTAGGATCTTTGTGAAACACCCCCCTGTTTTGTTACTCATCTAATATATTTTAGGGCTCTGAATCAACAGGTATTTAGCGGAACCTCAAAATGTTGAATGATACTGATTATATGCTACTAGTTTCATTGCACCAGAATCCCAGTTTTCCTCATTATCTTTAACAGAGTCTCTGTGAATTATCATAACTTTGTTTCACCAATCTAGTTTCACCTTGTTTTCTTGGGATTGTAACATAATTGTTCTGCTTTACTGACAAAATTCTACCTTATTTTGTTATATTCTAAATGAAATTCTTTGAGTGGAATTGAACATTGTGTAATGTTATGATGATTGCCTCATCAAGCGATTCTTTTGAGTAGAAATGTTAACATCTTTGCAGCTTCCGATTATATTCTACCTTTTATCCAATTACGGAGAGACATAAATAAATTATTTAAAGGCAGAGCAGAATTCCATCTGCACCATTAAATAAATGTCAAGATTATAGAGGTTACAATCTTTTTCATTAGCATACTTAAGTTGAGTATGCACATATTTTTTCTCCAGTACTGTATTATAATCTGGATTTATATTGCGCCTAACACAAAAATACAGTCACCGAGCACTTTCCAGATACTAATATCCCTGTTATCATTCATGCACAATGAGCACCATCTCCACTCCCTGAGGAATATTTCTACCATAGGTCACTGTGGGCAATTACTAACACAGAGGCCCAAATTCACAAAGGAGGTTTGTCGATAAACCTAGGTTTATGTGCGTCATATGACTCGTTTTGACAAACCAGGTTTGTAAAAAACGTGTGTCGGAGCTCGTCATATGACGCACATAACCCTAGGTTTGTCGACAACCCTCCCTTGTGAACTCGGGCCAAAGGCTTTCACCATCCTACCAGGTCCCCATTTCTATCCTGGGCATGGAGTGGCAAATGTAGATGAATGCCTTGTCAAAGGACATTACTGTATTATGTAGACATGGAGATGTATCCTTTTCCTACATCCTTTTCTCCCTTTCCCTCCCCCTATCCTCCCTCTTCAAAAGCAATTACTGCAAAGACTGCAATATCAAAAACACATAAAAACATTTGTATGAATACATTGACACACCACATTAAGCTTGTTATAATAAACAAAAAATACAATTGAAATTGAAATTGAATTGAAATTAAGCATTTTATTATCATTTTTTTTATATTTTAAGGTGGACATTTACAAATCAATTTACAGAGAGGATATGGTGATAGTAACACTTAGTCATAACAGCTTTAATGGGGTAGATTACACAATATCAGCTTTGTATGACAAGGATGCCTACAGAGCGAGAGAATGGAAGAGGACCAAATGTAGGCAGGTATAATAAAGGTACAATAATAATAACAATAATAATACAACAAATAATAATATTGTTATTATTGGATATTGTCATAAATGTAGCGCACATATCCATTCCACCATGCAAGGTGCTCACAGCATTCAAGCAATTCCTTCCTACTGGTACGCATATAACAACCGGGTGGAGAGTGGCAAATGTAGATTAATCATTAATGTCTGGCTAAAGGACTTTAGTGCCGTTGAAGAACTCCAACTCCTGACCATTTGATCCCCAGTCTGCAGATGTATCCACAACAATTTAATGACATTTCTCCCAGAAGTTCAATTACATGCATGTATCAAAACTTTTAAAGTTGCTCATTCGTGGGTATACAGAGGGCAGCACACGGACATTCGCACCGGAGCGTAATACCTGTTGGCTCAGTGTTACATGTATGTAGTGATCGCCAAGTCGCCTACCTCACGTATGACTATATAACCAAGCATAGACATCTTTAAAGTCACTGCTTTGAGAGCGGAAACATTTTATTTTGCTTGGAAACAAAGGGATATACCTTATCATCTATCACAAGATGACTCCTTCCTTGAATCTTTCATTCTAACATTCTTTCTATCGCTTCTTTCCCCATCTCTTTCCTTCCTGCTGTGATGCTTATGGTAACCATCATCTCTGTCATTTTCTACTTCTTCTTTTTCACTTCTCCTCTTCTGTCTATCATAATCTCTTCTCTCAATCAGTGAGTCATTATGATCTGTTCTTTGGTGCCTTTTCTCATTTACATCACTTTCTTCGCTGCTACTTCTTCTCCGCTTATCGCTGTCTCTTCTCTTCTTCTTCCTTGAATCTTCCATTCCGTTATCTTTCCTTCTATCTGAACTTTCTTTCCCTGCCTTGGGATGACGATATTCATCCCTGCTGCTTCTTTCCTTCTGTCTATCAAAGGTCCTTTCCTTTTCACTATTCCTCCTTCCGATTACATGAGTCCTACTCTCATGTTTCCTATCCTCTCTGCTTCGATGATGGGGAGTATCATCATCACTGCTTCCATGTTGATGTCTCCTCTTCTCTCTATCACTTTCCCTTTTCTCCTTTGAAGAATCTTTCTTTCTATCTTCTCTGCTTCTATGATGGGGAGCATCCGCATCACTGCTTCCATGTTGATGCCTCCTCTTCTCTCTATCACTTTCCCTTTTCTCCTTTGAAGAATCTTTCATTCTTCTATCCTTGCTTTTTTCTCTCTCTACTTTGCTTCTTGAACGCTTCTTGCTTTTCTTAGAGTTCTCATAGCTATCATCACTATCACTGTCTGATGAGGGGGTATCCCTTCTCTCCCTCTTCTTTTTCTTCTTATCCTTCTTTCTCTTTCGCTTCCTACGTTCCTCTGCACTGCTTTCCTCATCCAAGCTCTCACTTGCTGAAGATGAGATCTTCTTCTTATGTTTCTTCTTTTTCGCTTTCTCCTCCCTTCCTCGTCGACCCCTCTGGTCATCGGAATTAGAATCATCAGTAGAGGAAACCCTTTTGATTTTCTATCGAGAAAAGAAAAATTAGATATCTGTTTAATCTGCTATACGCTTCAACTCCATTCCAAAAAATAAAAAAATGACCTTCTTATTATGGTGGAAATTTGTTATTATCAAGGAAATGAAACTTTGTTACATCATGGCTTTAAAAAAAGGAATACAAAGAAATAGAACCAGCTAAATTGCCTGATCACAAATATTTGTTAAGATTTTTTTTTTATCACATTTACATTATACATTCTACTAAATATATAGTGATATCAAAATAGAACTAAGGTCATTTTTGGTTTTGGTATTAAGATGTAATTGTGTATTAAGATGTAATTGTGTTGTAAAATCTTCTTGATTCTTCATGAATGGTAACAACATTGTAATGTCAAATTCCTGAACACATGCTACTTCTTAAAGTGGAAACTTCCAATCTTATCTTTTAACTTAACCCACTTGTCATTGACAATGAAACACTAAAAATACCTTGAATTACCTTTTTCTTTTTCTTTTGTTTGTGACCCTTTTCCTTGGACTGAGTCATATCTTGCTTGTGTGATAGCATGCTTACATCGATGTCCGGTATAAGGTCGTACGTCTTCTCGCCAGGGGAGTAGAAACAATCTTTGGAGAGGTGACCTGTAATAAGATGTTCAATCACAGCAGGGGTTCATTTCACAAAACTTGTCATGAGTGATGAATGACAGTTTTTGTTATAAGCTACTGAAATCCTTGCTTCTGATTGGTTACCAGCAGATTTGTCACTTAATTTTGTCATTAGTCATTGGAAAAAGGTTTTGTGAAACAGGGCCCAGGGGTTCATCTGGGGGGCGTTTCACAAACCTTGTCGTGAGTGATGAATGACAGTTTTTTTGTTATAAGCTACTGAAATCCTTGCTTCTGATTGGTTATCAGCAGATTTTTTTTTTATTTTATTTTTTTATTTAGGGCGAAAAAGAGGGGTGCGGTTAATACACGAGGGCGGTTTATACGTTAATTACGGTATGCATTAAATTTGGTTACATTACAAAAATAGCCTATTGGGGACAGTAAGAACACCCACTACTAGCTTACCTACTGTACCGCATTTCCTGCAAGTGGTGTTAAGAACAGCTCCAAGTTCTATCTTTGGTTTGGGAACGTAGCTTCCTTTCTTTCTCCTCTGTTCCTCTTGTCTGGTATAAAAAAGAATAAAAGATTGGAATTCAATCAAAATACAGTTAACTCTGCATAAGACAAATCTGTTGGGTCTGCAAAAAATAGTTCACCAAATGCAAAATTTGACTTCGGAAGTGTAAAGAACAAAGGACTACGCGATATCTATCCAGCAGGCCTGATCGATTTGATAATTTACTAAATTTATCAATTTGTGAAGAATAGTGTTTCCCGGCAAAATTCATATTATCACGTATTAGTAAAAACATATTCTGTCACATGATTGGTAATAAGAGGTATATGAGGTGGTACTTACTTTGTCTGGACCATGTTTGGAATACTGTACATAGATCTAGGACCAACGACTGTAGAGGTGGTACTTACTTTGTCTGGACCATGTTTGGAATACTGGACATATATCTAGGACCAAAGACTGTACAGGTGGTACTTACTCTGTCTGGACCATGTTTGGAATACTGGACATATATCAAGGACCACAGACTGTAGAGGGGGTACTTACTTTGTCTGGACCATGTTTGGAATACTGGACATATATCTAGGACCAAAGACTGTACAGGTGGTACTTACTCTGTCTGGACCATGTTTGGAATACTGGACATATATCTAGGACCAAAGACTGTACAGGTGGTACTTACTCTGTCTGGACCATGTTTGAAATACTGGACAGTGGACATATATCTAGGACCAAAGACTGTAGAGGTGGTAGGCCTACTTACTTTGTCTGGACCATGTTTGGATCCAAGTCTTGTCCGTTATCCTGGTTGACGACCTTCATGGACAATGAGATCTTCATCTCTTCATCCTCCTAAAAACAAAACGGGAGTAATAATAAATCTTTAATGAATGGCAGTCTGTTCTATTGAAAGGAGCAGAAACACAGATATCAATAAAGAATATGGAAAATCAAATCACAACAATTGAAAATTGGTTGGTTGGGGGGGTGTTTCACAAAACTAGTTATCAGTGACAAATGACAGTTTTTGTTATAAGCTACAGAAATCCTTGCTTCTGATTGGTCAACAGCAGATTTGTCATTCATTTTTGTCATTTGTCATTGAAAAAAGGCTATGTGAAACGCCCCCCAGGAGAATGATGAGAATGACATATATGAAAAGTAACAGAGAAATTCTGCGAATGGCAGGGCTTAAACAACATATTCTGAGAGGAATGGTTAAAGAAAGAAAGGCAAAGTACTTTCGCCACATTAAAAGACATCAGAGTCTCTTGAAAGATATTTGGAAGGGAAAAATAGAAGTTACCAGACCAGAAGGGAAACCAAGGACTAGTAGTAACATGGAGGGGCACATTAAGACTTGGGGGGGGGGGGGTGATTCACAAAGATCCTTAGTTGAACTTAACTCTAAGTTGGACTTAAAAATTATGGAGAGCCATTTGTAGCCTTAAAATAAAATATATTCAAAAGCAAAAATTCAAGTATTTTAGACTTGTTATAAATTCCACGTCAAGAACATGAAATCTCCTTGATAAAGTTGATACTAGAAAATATGGCGCTAGTTCAGAAGTCTATCCAAACTTTGACCTGTAACTCCAAAGTGGAGATACCCTACTAAAACATACCCAAAATGAGGTAAATATTCATCAAAAGTCCAAATAAAGGTTATGATTTAAAAATCAATATGTTTGCTACCTGTTTCGTGTCAATTTTCTTATCTTTTTCAGAGTATTTTTCCTAAAAACAAAGACTTGGACTTTAATAGAGTCTAGATCTAGACTATGCACTTTCTCACAGGATTCACGGCATACTGCAGCACAATACAATTGCATACCGTGAGGTGCGGGCGCGCACATGTTTTCAGTTAGCGACCGTAAACTAAGATTACAGTCGCTAACTTAACACACGCGTGCGCCCGAATCCACATTTTATGCCTTTTAAAATAACTTTTACAAAATATTTTCATATATGCCAGCAGCTTTCCATAATTGTAAAGTCCAACTTAGAGATAAGTTCAACTTAGGATCTTTGTGAAAGATCAATGAACTCACCCCCAGAGATATGACCTTTGACCAGACGATGTCACCCACGGAGAGAACCTCAGAGACGTCCTCCACGCGCTTGGTCCGAGAGATCTGACTCTTGTGAACAAGGCCTGACAAAAAGAAGGCAAATTAAACAAATTTAGAGAAAGAGAAAGAAGTAGGGGGAGAGGACGGTGGGCAGAATCTTCAAGATAATGGGCCTCTGTCTACCCCTTAATTTAATAGTGATCCCCCCCCCCCTTTAATAAAGGAGGACAGGTTACCTCAATATTCATCAACAACAAACCCGACACAAAGTTGCAGTGTAAGAATAACCTGCGTAAGAAGATTACAACTCACCATTTTTCTTGTAGCCATCTAGTTTCACAAAAGCGCCATATGACTGTATCGAAGCTACCTATAGTATATGAAGAAAAAAAAGTAATAAAATAAATACTGACTTATGATAGGGAATTGCATAAAATTGTTAATTTTAATAGTGTATTAAAAGGTACTACAAAAACACTCAGAAGATTGTCATTTACCCGGTATTGTAAAAGTCTGCTATGAACAAAAGTTTGTCATACCTGTAGGCTGTACATGTTTTGAAAGCGTGTTACATGTATATCCTGGATTGTTTGGTATGAACAGGAGGCATTGCTTGCAAGAGTCAGACCTCGAGAAAGATACATAGTCTAGTCTTGTCAGTGTACCAGTAGGGTGTCTGATCGCGCACCCAATGTTGTGTTCTAAAATTCTTCCCATAGAGATTGCACGAATCCCTATGCAGTCTATGTGCATTGCGCGACCATGCAAAATTGGTCAATTTTTTTTTTTTCAAATCGAGATTCAAACCTTTATTCTTTGTGATCCTGAAGGTCATACTCAATAAATGAGGTGTCAAATGAAAGAGCAGGTGAATCCCCATATTTCCAAAAGGGGTTGCATCTTGGAATTCTAAAAATATATTTGTCAAAACAGCGATTTAAACATTGTGTCCTGGCTAACTCTGAGGTTTGACACTTTTGAGATATGCAGGCCCGATCGATAAGTAGTCCCAGTCCTAAGGAACATATCTATGCGCTTATTTTTTCGCTAGCCCCCAGGGATCACAAAGGATTAGTTTAAAAATACCCTTCCCCCTATTTGTTGGATCAGCTAATTAGGGAGGCGTGCGCTCCGCTCAGTCCAAACCATGGTTACATCGCGTAACACATCTCCGCGTACGAACGAAACCCATATTATAGTGAATGAAAGTATGGCTAGCCGTTCGCACAACGCTGTCTCCGCGATATTGCCATTGACTTATAACGTGTGTTCACTTCCGGAATTATTGTGTGAAAGGCTAGCCATATAGTCAATGCGGTGACAATGTGGCTCTAGATGCAAGTTGCACATAACATGCGTATGCTATGTATACGCTTGCATATCGCGCAATACAGCTGTTTGGCTAAATTTAGCAAAACAACATAACTCTGCGTGTACGTCTTTTTCGTTGATTCTGAGCAAAGCCGTATGAATATTGCCACGTTTTTGGAGGGGCTGTATCTTTTGATAGAAACATCGATGAGACTTGAAATTTGAAATATATTATTCTGATTACATTTTTTATTCAAATAGGTCTAGACTATCAAACTAAAATGGTGAAAAACGATCCCAAATTGAAAATTGAAATCGTTCAGACACCAGTACCAGTTGGGCCGGGCGCTGGTCCAAAAACAAGGATTGTCCGCATTTTCGCAGACGAATTTTATTTCTAATCTGCACGTTGGCGGTGCAAAAAAAATATTCTGTGATGATTTTTTTTAACGCATTTCACGTTGACTTTGTACAGAGACTTACGTTATGAGCGCCAAATCCTCGAGAAGACGGGGCAACCCATTACGCGGAATCCGTTTTCCACATTGCCTGCGCGCAGATAAAAGAACCCGAAAACCCACAGAGCGCTGAAGAAAGAAAACGTCCACAAAAATGTGGACGACCATTAATTTTTATTAAGGAAGGGATTTGTTCACGTTTACCAGGATATCGTCGTTTCATGCAGATGATCCTCATTCTCGGACCAGCGCCCCTACCGGTTAGGTCTACACCCTTATTAATAAAGGCTTAAGCAGATAAGGATAACTGAGCTCGATGACCACGAATGTACATGTGCGACGCCGACGGCGAGGGCAACGCCTAGCTACGCACGGCCAACATCGCATCGCATCGCGTCGGCGACCGACACGTTGGACTGCGGCCGTTTATACGGACACTGCTCCGCTCTCACTCCGCTCAGCTCGGCTCAGCTCGGCTCAGCTCAGCTGCTCAAATTCGATGACAAACGGCAAGCTATAAGACGGTTGGCCTCAAATGTAGAATTTAAATGACATCGAAAATTTGAAAATATGATTGACTGCCACTTACCTCCCCTTTGTAAATATTGTACAATGCTGGGAACGCTGCCATTTCGCTGGATTCTTCTTGAATTACAAGAGTTTAATTCACGCTTAAGCCAAACCTCAACATAAGAGGTGATGGTGTCTTCGAACTAGAAATAAAAAATGCAAAATAGGTTTGCTCACTCATCACCCAGGGTGTGTGTGGCGTGGGGGAGTAGAGGTGGCCGGTTGGACGTTAAGGAGAGGATGTTTTTATTGGCATTTATTGCCTTCTATGATTAATAAACGTCATGGCCGCACATTAAGTCTGTGCAGAATCGGAGGGTCCAGATAGATGGGGCAAGAAGTGTTTAAAAGTGTACCTATCATCAACACCAAAAATGGTGTGTTAATGTGATACATAGATCTATAATGTTTTATCTCCTAACACGTGATATATTCTCTTTCAGTTTCAGGGTCTACATTTAATACTATTCTGCTCTCTCTCTCTCTCTCTCTCTCTCTCTCTCTCTCTCTCTCTCTATATATATATCTGTTTATTCGACCCCCCCCCCCCCACTCTCTCTCTCTCTATAAAGATATAAATGTATATATAATCCTTTCTTCAACACCCCCCTCTCTCTCTCTCTCTCTCTCTCTCTCTCTCTTTCTATCTCTCTCATCTCTAACCAGGTTCAACAACCAATTTTTGATTTATTATTCATCTGCTTTAAAAAAAGGTTTCTCTATAACAAAACTATAAAATTAAACAAATCCAATTATTTTGTTTTCTTTCTTTTTGCAACTGCCTTCAATGAAGTTGCTAATGCAAGACAAACTAATTCAACATTTGTATACAAATATTTCGTTATAATGAAGCTTTATTTCATTCTCGATATCCACACAATTTTTGTCATCAACACTTTGACAATCTCATCTGCTACGTGATCATTATCCTGTAACATATAGACATAGTTTATATATAAAACATACAAGCACAACAAAATAGACAGAAATAAAATTATACAACATGTCATGCTTCATGAATGCAATCATTCTTTCATCTCTAAATATTTCTCAAGATTTCTCAAAACATAGGCATGACTCTTTTTCAAACAAATGTGCTTTTAGAAGATACAAGCAGAAATTATAAAAAGAAAATGTAGTCTTGTTACGTGTACCATATCTATGCAATATGCATTGATAGGATAATGTACATACGATTCATATTTTGTTTCTTAGAATGTCCAGTTGTGCAGTATATTGCAATGTAAAATTGTGATATTGCTTGCGTACGTCAAGAAAGCAAAGAGACTACCATAGTCAAAAATTTGAAGGAAACAGAACGGGAATAGTTTCAATTTCCCATGGGATGTTATTCATATGGCATTGAATCCTTGCCGAAGGTTTTTACTATGGATAACTGAGACAACCATTGCCAATTACATTTAGCAAAGCAAAAAGACATTGTGAGGAGTTAATTAAAGACATACAGTTAACAATTGAATCATTCATAGCCTGCTTAACAAGTTTTGCAATTTTTTAAATACTGTTTGAAACAAATTTGATTAGTTCTGATTTATGTTTCTTAAAAATGTGACTTATTAAAGCTTACATCTATAAGTACCTATAAAAAGGCCCTAATTCAACCAGTCCACTTTTTTATTCTTGAGATACAAAAAATATCAATTTTACGAGGAGTATGAATAATTCAATTGATAACCATAGATCTACAGTTTGAAAACAGATAATGACTGATTTGTTGCCAGATCATTATAGTTTGTAATGAGCAACATTGTAGAATTGAAATATTGGGGAAATAAATACTGCATGCATTCAACCCCGCCCCCCCCCCAAAAAAAAAGCCTTTCTTTTCAAAATTTCAACTTTTGCCTCACTTTGATTGTCAGCTTTTTCAGATACTTCAATCACGATATAAGTAAACAACAGATAGATAACAATCTAACAATTAACATTATTGAAAATTTAAACAAATAAATAAGTAAATGCAATGTTTAACATTGATTGCAACCCTGTCCAATGCCAATTTGTCTAGTATCCATAACTTTTATCTAACCCTATTTCATCTATAACTTGTCTAATCTATTCCTTGTCAAATTTTTTCTGCACCAAATTGGACAATTAGCCACTTCAGATATACTATATGCACATGGGCAGATAAAGGTCATTTCATTTGTAGTTGTACAATACTGTAAAAACCAAAGTTATGTGGTTATTAATTCATTTATGCACCCACAGTACATTCAAAGATACACATATGAAAGTATTCTATTCAGGAGAGAGAAAGCTTACTGAAACACGAATGCAAGATAACACAAATTCAATTGTGTGCACCGAAATTGGTAGCTTAGCAGACTTCAGCAGAGTAATGTTCAGCGCTTTGGGCACCTTGCGCCATAGATATGTGCGCTGTAAAATATCCAACATTATTATTGTTATTATTATTATTACGATTGTTATGATTACTATTATTAATATTATAATTATTGGTAGAAGCAGTAGTAGTACGAGGAGTAGTATATTCAGGGTATAAAGAACAAACGATAAACTTCATTAATTCTAACTATTGAAATCAATGCATCTTTAGACTTATTTTCAATATAACCTCTATTTATACCCATCATAATAGAAAACTGCAAATGATTAACAAAAAGTAAATGGAAAGTCAAAATGAATACAGATTATTAATTCAGTCATTCAAACATTCCTTTGTTTCTTTATAAAGTAAAAATGATGAAACTATAAAACTTCACACTAACAAAAAAGAATATTGAGTTGCTAAAAAGGGATGGTTCATAAATAAGTCTAATTCAATCAATCGGATAATGCAGCTATTCATGGTTACTTCACATAACTCTAAACTGAAGCCTCGATTTCATCACAACTATTCAGGGCGATATGTGAACAGAGCATATATCCCTTGTTTTACACATGTCGTTTTTTATTCTGTATCTGTTCAGGAGCAGGTCAAGTCCATGTATGAACACTCCTTAAATGATAATACTCCTCAAGTGGAAACACTCATTATATGAAACGCCCATTATATGCAGGGCCAAGTGTGAACAGAGCACTTATCACTTGTTTTACACATGTTATTTTTTATTCTGTATCTGTTCAGGAGCAGGTCAAGTCCATGTATGAACACTCCTTCTATGATAATACTCCTCAAGTGGAAACACTCATTGTATGGCAAGTTCATTGATGAAAAAACAAAAGAAAAATGAACAAGAAATAGAAAAAAATTGAACCAATACCCGTTTATAAGCTATTAGTTATCTAACAGCTACACAGAAAACCAATGCTCGACCATCACTTGGGAGTGTGAACACACATTTACAGACTAGTGCAAAGCTTTTAAATTTATCTGTTAATGTGAAGACACTTACAAACATCCACAAATATCCTTCATATTTCCTTCATATATCTGACCCTTTACATACATATCGTACAATATCTCTGTTTTACAAAGATTAATAGCTTTTTATAATTCAACTGAATTGTTATCATTATTTTAAGTGTATTCACATTATTCTTCACAAACATTGAAACCACAAGCTCCCGGCAAGATGGAAGATGGATCAGAAATTTGGCGCACCTGGAGGGCATTTCACAAAACTTGTCATCAGTGATAAATGACAGTTTTTGTTATAAGCTACTGAAATCCTTGGTTCTGATTGGTTGTCAACAGATTTGTCACTGAATTTTGTCATTTGTCATTGAAAAAAGGCTTTGTGAAACGGGTCCCTGATAATCAATCTCAATATAGCTATCCCAGTTTTAACACAAACAGGAGACCTATTAACATAACAAAACTTACAAATTTGCATCGTCAAAAATTCCAAATTGAAGCAACCTAATTTGCAAGAAAGAACAAAGACAGTTGTTTTGCCCAAATAATTGTCAGACAATCTTCATAGAACGATAAAATTCAATCACACGTAAGGGACTATTTTTTTATTTTGAGCAATCCACTCATTTAGTCATAGCAAATTAGTGTCACCTTTTAGTGAAGTTTTGTTTAGATCTTTTGATTCAGAATGCTCTGAATTACAAATCATAATATATCTTTATATGTAAAAAAGTTAAGTTACAATTTATTTCGAGCGATTCACTCGTTTAGCCATAGCAATTTGGTTTCACTTTTTAGTGACGTTTTATTTCGATCTTTTGATCCAGAATGCTCTGAATTACAAATGGTATATGAGCAGAGAAATAAATCACTGGAAAATTAGAGTCTATTTGTGGTGCAGGGCATTTTGCTGTTCATTAATTAGAGCAACTTATATCTCTAATTTCTCACTGAAGTCTATTAATTGGCAATGCAATTTAAAATATCTAGTCACTATTTTTGTGAACAAATCAGCAGTTTTGGGGTTAAATGTTTTGCAACTTATTTTCACAATGGTTCATTTAATAAACATTGTTTTTTTTCAGACTATGAAGGAGTGGAAAATAAGATTAATTGATGCCAATTTGAGGAGGGAAAACTGATCAATGCAGAAATAAGAAAACTCTGAAATACAATAAAGGTGAGTTCTGGTAAAAAAATAAAAAATAAAAAAATTCTCACAGAATCAAACGAAACTAATACACTGAATGTTCAAGATTACAAATAATTGTCATTTGCCAAACAATCTTGGTGGAAAATGTATACTGGCTGAGTAATGAGCATAGAAAGATTAGGAAATCAAGGTTGGTAACTCCCGACACCTTTTATGTAGTCCCATATACATCTTTCTGTATACAGTGCTTGTTATTTTACCAAGACTGGGCCAAATTTATTATGATTTTGATGACTCCAGAACTTTGCAGTACACACCAATACTTACATGCTACATGATCAAATTTTTCTGATCCATTCCACAACGTTTCTTTCACAATGGAATCGCATGACCAGAACTCACCTTTATCTTTAAGCAAGATCTAAAGCAGCATTTTGTATTCATCCTTACTGTTAAAATTCAAGCTAATTTGAGTTTGGCATGATATGTCCATCTCTTTACCCCTCTACACTGCATATGAGCGTTTTTACACAAGCAGAAAGTAAACGTGTAAGAAGCATACATTTCATTGTATGTACAGATGACCATGAGCCATCCATCTTGTACATGCAGTGTTGCTATGTCAGGTAAACTTGCGGTAAACATTAAGGTGGTCAAGATAAAATTTAAATGCGTCGACTCGTAAATTCTGTCATCCCCATGGGTTAACTATATAAACAGCAATGACAAGAATGTATTGGGAAGCAGGGGAAAATTTGAATACCAGTACATCAGGTTCCCTCTTATAAAGAGTTGATATTAAAAGCATCTTATTTGCGATGGATATCAATCACAACTATGTGGGGAGGAAGGTCTGCGGATCACAGTTATTTGGTTAACTTTTTCCATACCCGGGCAGCTCCACCGGATGCACCTGCTATTGCAATATTTATATACCGGTTTGCTTTCTATTGATTTTATCTCAATTCATGTTTTTTATATTGTTGTATTATGTGACTTGATTTGCCAAATAAAATAATAATAATAATAATAATAATAATGTACATAAGACATAGGGGACTGTAAATTTGCCATTGATTAGAAGACGATTGTTTGGATCAATCGCAACTCTTTATAAGACGGGGCCAAGAAGTATTTAACTACAGTCAAACTTGTCTTAGCTGACACCTCTCTATAAGGGCCACCTCTCTGTATTGGCCACCTTTATCTTTCCCTCTAGAAAGAAATGCATGTTGAAGAACCTGTCTAGAAAGGACAGCTGTCTGTATAGAAGCCAGTTTTCCTGTCTCCCTTGGGTGACCTTTATAGACAGGTCTGATGGTACAGTGAAAACTTGTATAACGAGGTCCTTGGGACCAAGGAAATTACCTTGTTATCACCTTGTTTTTTTCACCTTGTTCTAATCTTGAAAATGAACCCTGAAAAATGTTGGGGTGTACACTGTAATTTCTGGCATGATTCAAGAAGCAAATCAAATGTGCTGATAATGGAAAGAAAAAAAAAGGGGGGGGGGGCTTTCAAATTTCATGATTCATTGCTGGAACTTACAAGCCTTGAAGGGAAAAATACATTAGGAAAGAAGAAATTGTGAAAATATTTCCCAAATCATTAGAAAGGCAGTGATGAAATTGTTCATATTAATCAATATTTGGTCTTACTTTACACATCTTTGGCTTTATTTCTTTTTCAATTTCATGAAGAAAAAATTGAATAAAAGTCACTTAAAGCATTAATCACTGATAGATTTGCTTAGGTGGATTTAAAAATATATATATATGTATACATGTAATGTATATTGACTGAATATTGCAATTGTTATTTCTAATGCATCATCATGACATCTACAATGTATACCTTTGACTTAATATATATGTTCATCTTGATATTTCTTTATTCCTCATCCCACTTTTAAAATGGGTTTATTAAGATGGGGAAAGGAGGGGGAGGGGGGCGCTGTCTGTTAATCCTGGATAATTTTATTGAAGTTAAATTGACAACGTATTGTTGTTCTTCAAATTGGCAATAGTGATCTTATTTCATTGCTAATAATGTCTCTAAAAAAGTATATACATCAAGAGTGTGATGTCCAAAGTTTAAAAGAACAACCATTTTTTAATTTTTAAAAAAATGATTTGAATCCCTAAATGTGTTGCCAATTTAAGGATCAAACCTTATTTTTTTATTTTATTTTTTTTATTCCTGGCATTGAATGCAGCTTAGTCATGAAACAATCATCGGTGCAGTGTGGGATGTGGGACATATTTCATTAGGTCTCTGAATCAAAAGTTGTTGAGCCACACTGCAAAATGTGGAATGATTGTCGGAAAATGGGTTGTGCACATTATCGTGCATCTAGGAATCTCTGCCCTATGTGTCCCATACGACACGTGCCTTCTCTTAAGTTACGTCTTCCAAAAATAAAAATTCCTTGATATAATCAATACCTAGTGTTTCTTTCTGGCATCACCTAATCCCTCCACACGTTGTACAATCTGACTACAATCCAATTTTGGAAGAATCTTCAATGGCCTTTGATATGAACATCGATACATGCATGACCCTTGACCCGAATAGTCTAGTCATATGATTAATGATATCTACATTTCAAGGAATTTCCAGCTTTCTTGTCACAGTGTCTTCCTGGTAATTTACATAACAACATAAAATCCATTCTGCCTGATGAAATGCACTTCATTAACCTCCGACCTTTCAACCTAAAAGTCATAGGTTAATCCGAAATAGCTAAACATGGTCCCACAGTTTAAAACAAACATGTAAGCATTCATTAACAATCCTATATATATATTTGTTTGGCTCCAGCAGATCAAACAATGTAATATCATGGTTCAAAATTTTGAAAAAAGAAAATAATTATTGCTTTTTAATGCTCTTGGTACATGAAACTTCCCATCTTGGAACAGGATGACCTTTCACACTTCAGCTCTGTGTACTTATGACAAAGTTCAAAGGTCAATCCGAAATAACCAAGCATGGCCTCTGGAAACCTATAACAAACCAAACAGCGCTCAGAAACAATCCTATATAATGCTTGGATCAATATCATGAGATATCGAGGTCTAACATCCTGAAAAATAAATATCTGCTTTTAATGCTTTCAAAGAGCAATCCAACCTTTATAATAATTTCAAAACATTTTTTTTGACCTCGTTTACGCAGTATTTGCCTCGAGAGACCACCGGAGAGGAAATATTACAACTTAAGCTTAGTGTGTGTCACACTTCTCCATATATAACACACATATATAGCACGCGTAGGGGACTTCGCTGTGCGCAGCTCATTTGAACAAAAATCTCCCTCTCAAATCCTTTTCAGTCACGTGAAATGATTCTGGTTAACCATGTCTTTTTTTTTTTACAGCTGGTTCACTGTGTAACGTCTAAACAAGGCTTATACAGTACATGATTATGCAGCACCTAAAAGACCATACTTACTATTCACTCATGATGAAAGTAATACTTAACATACAGCAATCTGCTATCACACATCATAGTGTCTCTGTGTGTGACCTTTGACCTGAGGAGGTCGAAGGTCACAAGTGTCCATAGGAGCTGGTTCAATCACCCGTTTGCATGGCGATACCATTATCAACCGACGCCCCCTCTGTTGGCTGATTGCAACCATCTTGAGATGTCAAAGTTTCTCTTCTTCGTTCCTCCTCTTCCTCCTCCTCTGCCTCGCGTAGCTCTTGCTCGATCAGCTGCTTTGCCAATTTGATGTTGTACGCCTCATCGTAATGATGTTTCCTCTTGCTGCAAAACTCTTTCTTTTTTTCTGGAATTAGACAAGGATATTTAACTTGAAAGATTATAGAGAAGATGATAAGATTTTAAGACATTGTTTTAAAGGCAGGCTTTACTACTTCAGCCAGAAGGGATTAGGCCACCCAGCGAGCCAGCCACTGTGACAGGTGGCTATCTCATTAACTCAGCTCTCATTTAACATAAGAAAAAGAGGATCATGGGGGACCAAAAGGCACCGATTGGGGAAGTTTTCTATATAGAGAGAGCAAGTAGCTACAAGTAGGACAGTGTGCCTTTAATGAGCATTAAAGTCTTTTTATATACCACACTGTATTTATCATGGGATAGATCAACTATAGGTTTAAAGGTGAAATTCATAGAAAATCACAAATATGTCAACTTATTTTTCAATTCAATTCAATTCAATTTTATTTCATTCAGTTAAAAAGACAACATTTCAAATAACAACCAGCTATACAACATAAAATACACATTAAGAACATATTTGACATTTGGACAACAAATAAACTGAATAGGTTGCAACCTGAAAGGAAAAAAATAATCCTTATATAAAGGTTGACCCTTTTTTTATAATAAAAACAAATGAAATATATCCGTTACTAAACATTATACTATACACAAATCAAGACAACAAACATACATACAACATCAAATAAAATATGTCTTGAATTTAAATGATTATTGCAGTTTATCTAAAAGAAATTTCTTATACCTACGTTTAAAAACATTTACACTAACAGAATTATGAATATAATGGGGAAGAGTTTATTTATCACAATAAAATGGTAAGCTAACAGATGGCCATCGTACAAGTTTTAGGTCAACTACATATTGGGTGATTTATAAAAGTACAAATACAACCACCTCCATAGCAGCTGGGATATATGAGAGATTCGCCGGAAAAATAACAATGTTTTAATGACATCACTATATGGACCAACACTGCCCAAGCAGACGACATCCCATAAAAAATGAACATAATAGCAAAGCTATTATTTGTCAAATTATAATGAGCTTAGTGTATATAAATGTAATGGCATGTCAAACCATTCAAAAGGGGATATGACCCGATTTTGATAACAAAAATCTTTTGCTTGTAAATACACAGAATAGGGGTTAATTAAGAATCAAAGAAACCAGACTTTCAAATTGAAAACCCCCCGGAATGAAATTAAGGACGGCATTTGTTCCCTCTTGAAACGCCGAACATACCGCGGTGTGTGCAGCTGAATATACAATGGCGTCTCATTTTTTTTACAAGCGACAGATTCCTTTATTTTTGTATCGCTGTATTTGTCATCAAAATAAAAACATGCGCGGGGTTTAGAGTAAGGCTGTGAAGGGTAGTCGAAATGTCCAGGCCGACGCTTACCCGTGCCTGGGTGAGCGGCGGCCGCTGGCATGGTGCCGTCGGTAAAAATGTTTCCCAACTCAAGCACTGTCAAACTCACCACTCAGAAACTGGGACCAAATGTCTGGATTTCTGCTTGGACTTGGAGGAAAATGGATTATTCTGCCATCTTTGGTTTTTAAAACAGCATTGTTCACTGTTATTATTATTATTATATCGGCGCCTTCAAATGCAACTCAAAGTAAAATTGCATGCGTTTTCGGCGACAGAACTGGGATACTGCTCCAGTGGTATGTATGGTGGTGGCAAAAAAATCAACAAAAAAAAAACAAACAAAAACAAAAAAAACATGGCGTCCGAATACTCGAGTATTCGCTTGTAAGCATGGGAGTGTACTCGGGTACCTCATTACACTGTTGTGCACAGCCTTAGTTTAGAGTGAGGCAATAGATTATACATTTAGCTTGACAGTAGTGAAGAGAAAGAACTCAAGAGAAGATGAAAACAGAGGCACTGAAAATGTGTGAGATGTCATGGGACATCATCTGCTTGTGCAAATCATGTCCATACTGTGATCTCACACATCTTAGCAGCGTTCAGAGAGCTATTCAGGTGCTATGCCGGGGCTGTATTTAAGCATTTTATAATTTTTAATAATCATTACTTAGAATGTTTCCAAGCATTGAATTTTGATAACCTTGTCGAATCAAAGTTTCAACTTTGCAATAATGAAAATAAAGTTAGTTTTTAAAATCACTAAATATCTACTTTAACTATTTCCAGTGCAACATTAAAGCCCCACTGTACTACTTGTAGCTACTTGCTCCCTCTTTATAGAAAACAATGCCTGAGCGGTGCCTGTTGGTCCCCCATGATCCTCTTTTTCTTATGTTAATTGAGAGCTGAGTTGATGAGTTGCCACCTGTCAGTGACCACGCTAATCCCTCTAATCCCTCCTGGCCACACTAGTGCAGAGGGGCTTTAATCTATACCTGTGTCGAAAAGGTTGTAGTAGAGCGAATCAAGTCTGGACATGCATAATTTTGCAACGCCATTGTGATGCACAAAGCAATCCTTCCATCAATTAGTGCCTTTAGTTTTTTGGAAAATTTACACATGTGGCAAAATGACCTGGAGGTCAAAAAGTGTATTCTTCAATCCCAAAAGTTGTATTCTTAAAAATTAACACGGACTGTTACGCAGATCAATGCCTCTTACCCTTCCTGCATACAGGAAGAAATTTTTCAACGGATCAATGGTTAAATATACATGATTTCCTCACGACTGTTGTGTTCGATGAACCAATGAACATCCCCAAATTGCCGATGTGAGATGCATGAAGGATACTTTACAGGACAGAATGGGCATTTTGCCATTGAAATTTTTTTTTTTTGAAAATCTTATTTTATTAAGGAAAATCGTACTGTCGTATTTGCTTCTAAAAATTGTACGAAATACGACTAAATCGTACTGGTTGGCAGGTCTGGTGTAGTAGTAGTAGTAATAGTGTAGTAGTAGTAGTAGTAGCAGTGACAGCAGCAACAGCAGTGTCGGACGTAGTAGACGTAGTAGTAATAATAGTAGTAGTAATGGTGCAGTTGCAGTAGTAGTAGTAGACATGTTAACTAATTAATACAACATAAAATTCCACTCACTTTTCTCTTCCTCTGTGAGTCCCTCCTCGTCATCCTCTTCACTTGATTCCTGCAGATTCTCCTCTTCCCACCAGCCCTTCTTAGACGGCCCTTCTAATCTGTAAAATGATACAATCATTCACCAAAACAAATCTGCACATCTCATGCTTAGGAGGGATCTCATGTTGCATTTAAGATGACAAAATGTGTCTGACAAAAGGAAATATGACAACAGCAGTAACATCAACATCAACAAAACAACAAAGAGCAATATAAGTATGAAATTTCAAGCACATTTATGAAGTCAAAGGCCATTGTAAAATATTACAATGCACATTCTCACAGAAAGAAGTACAACTGAGAGAGCTTTGTCTGTCAAATCTGAGTGGAGGGGTGGGGGGTGGGGGGGGGGCATAAATGTTATACTAATAAAAACGGTGCTTATAAAGCGCTTACCACCGAAGTCTCTAAGCGCTATAACGAACAAAATACCATGAAAAACAGTTACATATTATAGCCTGTCTGTACTAGTTTGGCCAGGGGATTAGACCTCCATGCAAGGTCACTGACAGGTGGTTACTTTATCAAATCAGCTCTTGATTAACATAAGAAAAAGGGGATCATGTCGTGCCACGGACCAACATGCACTGATTAGGCATTGTTTGCTATTTGTATTAAGCGCTATATAAAAATTAAATATTATATTATTATTATTATTATTTAGAGGGCGCAAGTAGCTAGAAGTGGTCCAGTGGAGCTTTGAACAAAACAAAAAATTCCAAAAACCTAAAAATTACAATACATATGAAGTATACATCAATGAGAACGGAGTTAGTTAATCATCAAAAGCAATTTTGTATAAATGCGTCTTACGACAAGTCTCAAGGAGAACAAATTAGAATTTCATGGAGGACTCACTTCTTGTTGAGTTCAGTTGCGTTGAGCGTAGCAGCAGCGATCTCATTTTGACCGTCGTGTTCATCGTCGACATCCTCCGCCTCGTTGTATTCATTGTACGGCGTGTCGGGCTCGTCCACCTTCATATGGCCATAGTCTTTGTCAGCAGGATGATACGTGGCTAGGATGTTCATCTCATCCCAGGTGATGCCATCCCTGGTGGCGAGATAAGAGAGAGAAACGGTTGGGTTCGAGTTCAAATTAAAATTCATAATTCAAATTTAAGTCAAATCAAAATAAAATTCAAATTCAAATTCAAATTCAAATTCAAATTCAAATTCAAATTCAAATTCACATTCAAATGTAAGTCAAATTAGAATGAAAATTAAATTTCATTTTCAAAATTAAAACTCAATTTCAATTTCAATTTCAAATCCAAATTCACCCCAAATTTAAATCTCATCCCATTTGATTTTGTTGCCATCTATGTATGTCGCGCACACAGAAAATCAGGACTTTTTTCATGTTTGTGATACGAACCAATATTGGTTTGATGGTTTGTTTTATCTGAGTGCTAAGAAAGCATGTGTTTGCTTGTAAGTATTAGCAACCAGGGGACCGACGGCTTTAAAGGTAATACAAAGTTTTGGTATGGGGTCATGAATTTGGTACAAATGAACATATTGGTAGCATATGCGATCCTATGATATTCAGCGATCGTTGTCGCGTTTGAAATCGAATCTAGAGTTATGAAATTGTAAATAATATACTCTTTATGTTGTATAGCTCTATCTCAAGGTCAAGATCTTAATTAAGCTATTAAACAATGTTCCTTCACCAAATCGACCGATTACCTATTCCCGTTTGGAAATTATATATCACATCTACATATTCTGAGATTTTGATGGTCGCAGCCACTATATTTTGACGGTCGTAGGCGCTATTTGAAATTTATCAAAATTTACCGGGAGCACCGGTAAATTTTTGTATTTAATTTTTCTCGAAAGCAGAAGTGTTTTAGGGGCTAAATTTTCTAGTGCTTATAATACATCGACAGATGAAGCTGCAAGTCGCGCATTGGCTTAGCAACATGCGTACTATATGCATACGCTTGCATATCGCGCGATACAGCTGCTTGTCTGAATTTAGCAAAACAACATCACTCTGCGTGGACGTCTTTTTCGTCGATTTTGACCAAAATGATATGAATATACCAGCGTTTTGGAGGGGCTGTAACTTTTGATAGAAACATCGGTGAGACTTGAAATTTGAAATGTATTATTCCGATAACATTTTTTATTCAAATATCAAACAAAAATGGTGAAAAAAGATCCCAAATTGAAAATTGAAAAATCGTTCAGACACCCTAATTATACGGCGGCGTCGACGTTTTCCTTAAAAGAGGGCGTTTTTCAAGCACTGATCGCACAAAAACCAAAAAAAGGGTACCTTTTCAGATTCACAGGTTCGGCAGCTTCTACGTTTTCCTTAAAAAGGAGGTGTTTTTCAAGCACTGATCGCACAACACAAAGCCCCCAAGAAGGGTACTTTTCCAGGATCACAGGTTTTTGACATTTTCTTTTTAACGAAAAGGGTCATTTCAGAAAAGGTGCGATATGCCATTGATGGACACGGGTGGATAGCATATGTGTATGAGAGTGACCCCCCTGGGAGTTTAGTACAGTGACGTTTGAAATGTTGAGAATCAATAGCACAGCTTTTAAAATTTAATACACAACTAGGGAGGCCAATGCCCAAATCTAACTTTTTAATTACTAATTTGTTTATACTAAAACTAAGATTAAAAGAAAGCATTTACTTTCACTAAGAAAATCCACCCATCTGCCGACTCCATAGGTTCCATCAAATAGGAGATATCCAGCTGGTTTGTAGCCATTTCCTTCTACGCCTTTCCGTACGTAAGAGCCTTGAAACAATTATATTTCATGTCGCAGAGTTACGTTCATAATTAGACAGGCCCGAGGGACAAAGTTCATGATGAAGTTTAAAACTTCGCGCGAAAGTGCAATCACTCAACAGCGGCTAGCCTTGAATCGGTCGCACACGTACACACCTTCTTCTTCTTAGTTGATCCCTCCACCGACACAGGCAAGCCCCGATGCATGCAGGCTGAAGTCCAGCCATCAATGTGCGAACGATTACATCTTCTACTACTACGAGCCGAAGACGATGGTTCAAAAAAGGAAAGAAATATATATAATTCATTGATATTTACCTTAGATGTGTATTCCAATAATTTGATTTCCTCATGAGTATTCCTTATTATCAACGATCGAGAAGTTACGAGGTCCAATTAAAATCCATCTTGCAGCGAACACAATCATAGCGCACATCCATGCATGCAACGTACGTGTACTAATATTTCTCTCACTCTCTCTCTCTCTCTCCCTTTCGCTATACGTAACATACACACTCACTAACCATGTATCATACAACACACACCTTCAAATCATGGCTTTCATTTCAATTCTCAATTGGAGTATAGACTGCTCACGTAGACTTTTTTTTTTTACTGAAATATCTTTTTTAACACTTCTCATACATAACTGCACGACACTCGTATCTAGTGCTGTGAGAATAAGGTACTAGGGTCTATAAATAAGACTACGCTTTGCGCACGATCTGACCGGAGCTCAGATTATGTCGCAATACCCTTTATTTTTGGCGCGAACAATGACGTCACTGTTCACTGTTTTCCTTCTCATTTTGAGATGGATGTAGCTATAGGGCTCAAACCAACGCAAGATTGACAGAAACATCGTACTCTATCTACTTTCGAATGTTCAGTTTGTAAAAATCTGTATTTAAAAAGATATAATCTTTTTTCTTTATATTTTCTAGTTGTTAGAAGTGGCAATTGTGAACATCTGAAATGTTGATCTCTATCAAAAGTTCTTTACTCAAAACGGATCCCATATTTTTAGGGTCTACCTTCTGCCAATGAGAAGGTTTTTAGTGAGCAAACCTCTACGCCCTCTAGGATTTTCTTAGTCGGTGGTGCGAGTGCGTCAAGGTCGTCTGCAACCACAATTATTGGATTAAAAAACGTCAAAATCTGCAAGATTGTCAACAAATGGTGAAAGACTGTTACAGATCCGTGATTATAGGTATGTTGTGAAATGTATAATTGTATTTTCTTTTCATATTTTCTTCAATTTTTATTTTTACATCATTTTTTTCCCTTTGCTAATTTTTTGAAGTGGGCGACGAGCGCACAAATCGTAGGTGTAGAAGCCTTACGCCCGGGCATTGGCCTCCCTAACACAACCGGTAGCCTCTAATCGGGCACATCTACAAGGAGGTCAATGAATATGCATATCAGTGACGTCGTGTCAATTCATGAATACTCTAATCGGGCACATCTACAAGGAGGTCAATGAATATGCATATCAGTGACGTCGTGTCAATTCATGAATATTGATGTTCTTGACTGCGCGCGTACGATCGTACGTACGTACGTGCAGAATTGGGGTCATGACTGTTCAATGAAGGTGATACGTGCAACACAAATCAGGGCAAAATCTTACCATTATACATTTGTATTGTCCGTGATTATGAGGTAGAAGTGTTTGAGTGTTAAGTAAATTTATTTAGTGTGGATTTTGATACATTTTTGATACAGTTTATACAAAATTGGCGATTCTTTTGGTCGTTTTTTAACTCCAAAAAACAAGTGACCAACTCGGTCGTCGGCCTAAACCACCTAGCCCTGCCTGTAGATGTGCCCGCCTACCTCTACATGAGCCCGATCGAGATAGGGATCGAGTTAGTGTAATGAAATAGTATTCTATATTCAATATCCGAGAGTTCACGGATGTAACATTAAAGCTCCCTTATATATGAGTTTCACAAATATCAATTTATCTTCTTTTCATGGATTTTCTTTGGATTCTACGTGTTTTACGTTGTCAAACAACCACCTCCCTGTAGATGTGCCCGCCTCCCGCTACATGTGCCCGAGATAGGGGATGTATATTGAATTTCCGACATGTCATGAATATAATAAAGCTTCCTAAGATACAAATGAGTTTCATAAATATCAATTTATCTTCTTTTCATTGATTTTCGTTGGATTTTACGTGTTTTAAGTTATCAAAACATGCACCTCCCTGTAGATGTGCCCGCCTCCCGCTACATGTGCCCGAGATAGGGGAAATGTAGTGAGGCATACAACTAGTGTTGTATATTGAATTTCCGTCATGTCATGGATATAATAAAGCTTCCTAAGATACAATTGAGTTTCACAAATATCAATTTATCTTCTTTTCATGGATTTTCTTTGGATTCTACGTGTTTTACGTTGTCAAACAACCACCTCCCTGTAGATGTGCCCGTCTCCCGCTACATGTGCCCGAGATAGGGGATGTATATTGAATTTCCGACATGTCATGAATATAATAAAGCTTCCTAAGATACAAATGAGTTTCATAAATATCAATTTATCTTCTTTTCATTGATTTTCGTTGGATGTTACGTGTTTTAAGTTATCAAAACATGCACCTCCCTGTAGATGTGCCCGCCTCCCGCTACATGTGCCCGAGATAGGGGAAATGTAGTGGCATACAACTAGTGTTGTATATTGAATTTCCGTCATGTCATGGATATAATAAAGCTTCCTAAGATACAATTGAGTTTCACAAATATCAATTTATCTTCTTTTCATGGATTTTCTTCGGATTCTACGTGTTTTACGTTGTCAAACAACCACCTCCCTGTAGATGTGCCCGCCTCCCGCTACATGTGCCCGAGATAATGGTGTAGCCAGACATTATAATATAATCTATGCGTATCTTTCTTGCTCCCTCGACGTGGCGACTCCACCAAACATACCCCCTCTTTCTTACTCACCCCCTTTCTCTCAGGCTCTTACCCCCCCCTCTCCCTCTCTCTCTCTTTCATCCCCTGTTTCTTTTGTTTTCTTTTCTCTTTTTTTTTCTTCTTTTGCTCCTTTTCTTCCTTTTCTTTCTTTTCCTTTCTTTCCTATCCTTCCTCTTTTTCTCTTCTTCTTTTTCTTTCTTTTCCTTTCTTTCCTATCCTTCCTCTTTTTCTCTTTCTTCCTCCTTTTCCGGACAATATCCTGACAGGCGGGGGTGTCGCACCCCCACACCCCATTTGGGGACGCCCCTGGTTGTAGGGAGTTAGATTATATACAATATTCAAACTTTTCGTAAATATATTTTCCTCCTCATAATAAT